GGAACTATAGCAGTTACGCTGAGAACGTAGGAAGATCTTCAATACACTGATATGATCAGATTTATATATTTAACAGGTGAAAACCAACTCTGAAGATAATATGGATAAAGGGTTATGGTGAACAGTACTTTTGGGTCATATTACTTTCTTTGTATATGACAACTGATGAAGCCTGATAACAACTGGATTATAGAATTAATAAAATTAAAAATTATTATAGAATTAGATAGATTATAGAATAGATTATAGAATTAATAAAATAATTAACATTAGAATGAATCCTAAAGAAGCTCTGTAAGCTGGCCCTTCTGTTGTACTAAGGATACTAAAATGGTCCCTCTGTTTCCACTTATTTTCCCCACTGAAGTTTTCCTATTCTAAAGATTGAAATTTTTTCAGTAGAAAGTAGGATCTTTTATCCACTCCACATTAGAGATTAAAAAAAACCAAAACAAAAGTAAATGCACTGAGATAGTTAGCACACTGACTTATACTCATGTCATATTATAAAACGCAGGCATCAAATCCATGACTGAGACCCAGTTTGATAGGTACTGTGAAATGACAACAGAAGGGGACTTAGTAGCTATAGCAAAAAGTAATTTTAAGTGGAAATGACGGATTGCAGAAAAGAAAGTTTATGTATGGGGCCTTCCCGGTGGTGCAGCAGTTGAGCCCGCAGTCTCTGTAGTGCCGGTTCGATCCCCAGCCACCAGTGAGGGTCCCACATGGTACACATGGTGCACAGACCTCTCCTGCAGCACCTGCTGCTCCCCTCAGCAGTGTATTTCATCAGTCTGCCTGTTCTGTTCTCTGCTCTGGCTCTGGTGAATTCTCTCACCCTCCAGTGCTTCTGACTGTACCCAGTGCTTGTATAAATAAATAAATCTTTAAAAAAAGTTTATTTATGATAAAAACAAGCTATTATTTTAACATTTTGTCTTTGGGGTGGCTCTAGCAGAGGAACTATGGAGAGGAAGAATTTTGTTAATTAGTACTAGCAAATCCAATTTAATTATTACCTCTTGCTAATCTATAATGGTCATAATAAAAATTGTAGATGTTGAAACATCAGAAATTAATCTCTTAGCAAATGCTGAAGTAAACTACCTCTTGAGCAATATATTAATAGCGACAAGTGGAATAATATAAGATAATAAAAATGTTTATGGTTCTCAATGCAGTGCTGTACTTTCATTTATATGTTGTATATGAAACTTCCTAGAATGTGAAAATAGTTGTTATCGCATAAAAAGAAACCTGATACTCACGTATCCTAGCTTATTTATTTATACACTTAACCTCCGTCTTTCTCACCTGGCTCCAACTCTTAGTTTAGGTCTATGGTCCTAATATTATAGGAAACATCTACCCTACAACATAGATGGAGCTAGAAGGGGTAATACTAAGTGAAATGAGTCAGAAGGAAAAAAATAAATACTAGATGGTGTCACTAATATGTGGAATATAGAGAAACCAAACTAACGGTCAGATAAAGACAAACTTAAAAACTAACACTTGAAAGCTGACTATGGAACTGAAGCATCCAGACAGGAGAGGAAATGGGGGAGGGATAGGAACAAAAAGGGAAGGAATCACAATGGACTGTGATGGTGAACTATGGATAATTTGGGTGGGTGCATTATGGTGGCAGGTGCACTATGTTGACAATACCTTATGGGGGTATTACCCTAATCAAAAATAAATTAATTAATTAGAAACATTTGCCCTAAATGGATATGAATTTATTCCTAATCTTTTTGGGCTAAGTTTTGATATGCTAGAAAAGGAGGGAACTAATGATGCCTGTTTAGGAAGAAAAATCACATGAGAACTTTCTTTGTGGGCCCTCGAACATGAGTGTTTGATGTGGCATGAAAGGGGTTGGCACTTGCAGGAAGTGAGTGAACACCAGAAGGAGCAGTATGAAACTGATGACAGACTTGACCTTTGCAGTTTCACATATGAATCTTCTATCTTGGTTATGTTGACTCCTCTTAGGTAGAACCAAAAGCATGGTAGACAAAATGTGGGAATCTAAGATGAGAAGACAAAAGATCAATTTAGTAGTCTACAGAGCAGAGAATCAATGTAAACAATTTATGTTTTAGGCTGCTGAGAAAATTAAACACTACAATATCATAATATATTAGAATTGTTAATTCTAAGCACTGTTAATTGTTAATTTTTAGGCATATTAATGAACACACACTCAAATGTTTATTAGATTAAATGTAATGGAGTGTCCAGGATTGGATTGAACAGATAAAAGTTCCATCCAGTTAATAAAGTCTAGTTTAGTTAATAGTATAGTTTAGGGGAGATACCATGATCATGGAGGTGATTTTCCCAGGGCAAGGCTTATCCACTGCACTCTGGATGTGCTGACCCCTGCGATTTCCCCAAATGTGGGAAACTCGACTGCATAATTTGTGGTAGTGGGGGATTGTGTTTGCGCTCTCCCCTGGTTTGCTAAAAATAAAAAAAGAAATAAAATAGTATAGTGCACTGGTTTTGATAAATGGTTACATAAACTGTTAACATTAGAACAAGCTGAGTAAAGGATGTATGGGAACTCTTCGGGTCACCTTTAATGTTTTTTGTAAATTTAAAATTTATTCCAAAATAAAATGTTTAAATTTTATTGAAACAACTCTAGTTGATAATTAAAAAAAATTGAAAACAAACAGTTATGTCAATGGCTCATTTAAAACTATCATAAATTTTATGTAAAATTCTTTAGTACCACTGACATTAATGGTTTGCCTCTACTTTATCTTCTGAACAACCATGAAGAGGGCAGTCTGTCTTCTCAGTGGCAGATGGTATTACTTTCTTCTAATAGTAACTTCTGCATCAAGTCTTTGTAATACCTTGAGTTATTTCACCTCATTCATTTTAGTCACACATTTTAAGGGGAACAATTTCCAGTTTCATGTTTTTTTACTATCTGGAAACCAGAACTGTAATAAATATTATAGGTTCTGACCAATGTTTTGTTCAAGGAAAATATTATGTTTTCTCCTTTGTTTATAGCACATAATGTTCCTCAATATTTTGGGATGCTTTTATATCAATGTCTCATTTATCTTTTATTTGCTATTATTTTCTCCATCTATTTATTATGGGAAAGAAAACAATTTGGGCTTGTAATAAGAAATAAATCTTAGAAAATAAATAACTTGGACTGAACACTATTCTGACATAATACAAGACCTAGTAAAGATAGTAATCCAAATGGCAAGGAAATATTACCAATATTTAGGCTAAATATCAACACAGTAACAATCTAATGTGTTGATTACGTAGTACATTTTGGATTACAAAATAAAGCCTCGCTCAACAACAAATTTTGGTGAGGATGTGGTGAAAAAGGAACTCTTCTACCTTGCTGGTGGGAGAGCAAACTGGTCCAACCACTATGGGAAAGCTGTGTGGAGGTTCCGCAACCTGCTAAAAATGGAGCTACCACAGACTGGGCAATTCCACTGCTAGGGATCTACCAAAAGGACACAAAAACATTGATTCAAAACACCACCTGTACACCTATGTTTACTGCAGCACTGTTTACAATAGGTAAAACCTGGAAATAACCCAAATGCCCAAAAATGGATGACTGCATCAAGAAGATGTGGCATATATACACAATAGAATATTATTCAGCAATCAAAAAGATAAACTCATGCCATTCGCAGCAAAGTGGATGGAACTAAAAGAAATTATGCTCAGTGAAATAAGCCAGAAGGAAAAAGAAAAATATCGGATGGTTTCACTTATAGCAGGAATATAGGGGAAGCCAATAAGACAGCAGTGTAAAAAAATAATAACAGTACAAAACACAACAAAGCAAAAACAGACAATTATCAGAGATATACTGCAGGGGAGGAGAAGGGAGAGGGGTCAGAGAGAGGAAGGGAGGAGCACAGGGGACTGAGGTGATGGTGCACATGTGTGTTGGTGAAGGAAACTATGGGGACTACACCTGAGGGGGTGAGGGAAAGCAAATATTGTTTAAAAATGCACAATGATGTAAAAAAATAAATAAAAATGAGAGATTTTTAAAAAATGATGAAAATTTAGAAAAAAATTTTAAAAACCAACAAAATAAAGCCTTGCTGATTGGTAGGAAGGTTTAGCAGCAGAAAGGAATTAAGACAGAGAGGGACAGTTTTCATATCATGTATTTTCAAGTAATCACTGACATAAGTAATGGAAATGTGAAAAAGATTCCAGAAATTAACAGTCTTGGTGGTTAAGAAAGACTGGTCGTGTAGTGCAGCGCCTCCGAGTCTGGCTGTAGACATTTGTCCCTGAATGAGGACCTGCGGGGAGGAATTGAAGACAGTGGACTGAGCTCTCTGGCCCTGCTGGTCCTGAACAGGCTGAGGAAAGGCCATCTCTAATTCTCGCAAAAACATACTTTCAATGAGAGCAGGATAAAGACTCATCTACTCGACTCCAGGAAGCTACTCTTTAACAAAAAGTTGAAAGTCAAGTTCCCTTTCCTACTAAACATAATGAAATTCGTACAGATTTCAGCTCCTAACCATTCGTATTATTCGTGTCTTGAGTTTTAAATTCATTGCTTTTACTAGAGATACGCAAAACTAGCGAATTTCCGTGGTTTTTATGCCTTTGGTTTACAGTCGGAGGTTTTTTTTTTTGTTTTGTTTTGTTTTTGCTTTTTGCTTACTCTGCATTCACTGAAAGACTAGTACTTTTGGTTTCCCCAACCAGTATAAAAATTCGTCCAAGGAAGTTCAGGCTCCAGTGTTGTTCACTCAAAATGGTGGTTTCTACGGCAACCACATTGCATCCCATCGCCCCTAGCCTCGCAGCCTGTCGGCATCTTCGCAGAATTTTCCGCTTTTTAACTCTAAACAGAGGTCGCTTTCTTCCACCTCCCATTGGACACATTGCACTGCGCACGCGCCAGCGGGCCCCTTGCAAGTGCACTACACGGCGCATGCGTCCGTCTCCGTAGCGCGCATCCCTGGGAAAGTAACGTCAGCAGCTGGAGATGACGTTAAAAAGCCGCGCGGGGCTGCTGCGTGTGCAGCTCCCACGAGAGGGACTCCTAGCCCGTCGCTGTCATGGTACACTGCAGTTGCGTGTTTTTGAGAAAGGTCTGTGACCAGTGCCCCTCGCCCTGCGACCCGATGGCGGGGTGTCGGGAGCCCCACTTGAGGGCTTGGATTTGTCTTCGTTTCCCTCTCTCCCCACTTTTTCTTCCTTGAGGCCTCTTTCTTGCTTGATTGTACCATAATTCTCTCCTCTCTGCCCCTCGCGTCGTCTGACTTGTCCTGTGAGGGGCGCCAATAGTATGGTTAGGACGGGTGTTTGGCTGGGGTAGGGGTTGAGATTTTTCAGGAGAATTGTGCGTGTGCACGTGGGATGAACAGCTGGGACAGCTACCTGTCGTTTGTTTATATATGCGATATGGTATACTTAGAGTAAAGCTAATTTTTCCTCTTGATTCAAATAATGTACTATATCTGTAGCCCGTTCTTACTGTTTTCCTCCAGTGCATTGTTTTCCAGAGTTTTCTAAAAGACGACTTTTTCATCAGTGAACAAAAATATGTCATTCGCTAGCCTCACAGGAAGTCAAATTTTTTTGTGTGTGCAGTGCTGGTTTTAAGAATCGTTTCTGTAAGAAATTTACAGCTGCTTCAGGTTTTGTTTTGTTTTTTAATTCTTTAGAAACCTATTGGAAATGTTTTTTGAAACCTACCAGTGTCATAGTTTTGACACTGGTAAAAGCAAGATTAGATATTTTTAAGTTTGGTTCCTAAGACCTCCGAATCTCATGAATCTAGAGCAGTATAGAATGTGTCACACTGAATGGCTCTTTAAAAATAGAAGTGTTCTTTTTATCAGAGGAAAGGCATGGTAAAATTGTACTTTGAGTAAAATTATACTTTACCTAACTATTTTCCAGAAAATAGTCAAAAGGAAAGGGACTTGTGAGGTAACTAATTCTCAGCTAAAAAATAAATTACTATTTCTTTGTGAATAGGTAATGAAAAATCGCTTGTGTTGCTTTACTGCCTTGAACACTCTCTTCCAATCAGTGTTGTTTGCCAGGAGAGTTTTATCTCTTCACTCTACCTGTGATGCATTTTTGATCTAGCCTCCCAGACAAACATAAGTACTTCAACCCAGGGAAAAATATTCTAGTTAGCTCTCAAGTTCATCTATTATATATTATTCCCATCCTATTTCCTTACAACACTATTTCATGACTGCATTTGCATACACAAATGGAAACCTACACTTTGCATCTTTGCTGTATTCTTATCCTGTCTACTGCAATCTCAGATCTAGACTGCCTCAGAATTACCAATGGAATTTTAGCCAAATATGCTTGCTGGCTTGACCCACCTTCATCACCTTTTCTTATCAGAAAGGTCAGTGGAGTGTATGTATTCGGAAGAAAGTTCCCAGATGCTTTTGATACAGCTATCTTAAATGACAAAAAAAGTGAAAATTGTGAGTTTTGAGAGATTATTCTATAAGGGATTTTGTTGGTCTGGAAGGTTCATACATAGGATCTGGGCCTGCAAGAAGTTCTTAACTTAATGAGGGAAACAGAAGTAAATACTAAATCCACTATGAAACGTAAAAGGTGTAATAATAGAGATACAACTCTGCTGCTGAAAGAATGCAGACAAGTCACCAATAAGTGTTGATTATTGATTAGAGGAATTAAGGAAGACATTAAAGGGCCTCCCTGGTGGCGCAAGGGGTTAAGATGCAACCTATGAAGCTATCTGCAGCCACTGCAGCACCAGTTCGATCCCCAGCCAGGGAGCTACCCACATGGTGCAGCAGACCTCTCCTGACTCACCTGCTGCTCCCCTCAGCAGTGTGTTTCAGTTGATCTGCCTGTTCTGTTCCCCACTCTCTCGGGTGAGTCCTCTCACTCCCACATCTCTGGCCTGTACCCCAGTTCTTGTCATGTTAATGTGCTGTGTTTGACATGACTATTATCCTTTCAACTAATACGTTAAGAAATTAAATACAGATCTTGCTCTCAGTTGTTTTAGACAGTTAGGCTTCCATCCTGTTGGAGATGGCCAACGTTTGATTGAATATCTCATAAATAAATAAATCTTTTAAAAAAAAGAAAGACATTAGAAAATAGATTTAGGAGGTTTTGTGATAGAAAAGAACAAATGGCATTGTAAGTAAAGGAAGAGCACTGAGTAGAGTGCCATGGAGACATGACAGTAGAGCAAAGAGGAAGAGAAGAAGGAGGGACTCAATGAATGAAAATGAAACTAGAAGGGTACATTAAAAGCTTTGAATAATACTCAGAATTTTATTTATTTATTTTGAAAGATTTACTTATGCATATAACAGCTGGGGTACAGGCCAGAGATGTGGGGGGTGAGAGAATTCACCAGAGACAGAGTGGAGAACAGAACAGGCAGTGCTGCAGAGGCTGCGGATTGCTTCATAGTGTGGTGCTTAACCCCTTGTGCCATCAGGGAGGCCCAATACTCAGAATTTTAAACTTTCTGTAATAAACAGCAAAAAGCAAACAAAATACATGATTGGGTTTTGAGTAAGGGAGAAATATAACTGGAGATCAGATCCATTTTCAGAAAAATAGCTCATGCAGCAGAACAAAGGATGTATTGAAGAAGATATGATTGAACTAAAAAGACAAGTTAGGAATTAATGTTATGGTGAAGATACTATGGCAGTTGTACCAGAAAGGAGAGCTAAGCCTTCACAGAAAGAAGCAGGTTTGTTCAAAGATTCCATAGGTGTTCTCAATGAATAGATAAAGTATGTTTCCATCATTTGAGAGAGCAATAGGGGAACAATTTTACCTGGGAAAAGTTTGTTTTTGTCATGTTAATGTGCTGTGTTTGACATGACTATTATCCTTTCAACTAATATGTTAAGAAATTAAATACAGATCTTGTTCTTAGTTTTAGACAGTTAGGCTTACATCCTGTTGGAGATGTCCAACATATTTTTTTTTAAAGATTTATTTATTTATTTATTTATACAAGCACTGGGTACAGTCAGAAGCACGGGAGGGTGAGTGAATTCACCAGAGCCAGAGGAGGGAGCAGAGCAGGCAGAAGGACCGAAGTACGCTGCTGAGGGGAGCAGCGGGCGGCAGGAGAGGTCCTCCAGTGGCCGGGGAGCAGCCAGGGATCGAACCGGCGCTGCAGAGGCTGCAGGCATCTTTGCAACCCAGCACTCAACTGCTGTGCCATCGGGGAGGCCCGTTGTCCAACATATTTGATGGAATATCTCATCGAGGTGATATCTACTGCTACAGGCAAAGAACACCCACAGGGAGAAAGTCAAGATTGAAAAGTGGGCCGATCACAGGGACATTTGGATAAGTAGGACAACTAATATTTTTATCAGAGGTCAAACAGGAAGTGACTATAAATTTGGCTACAGAAAGTGACTATTGAGGGTTTTTTTAAAAGGAGCTCAGTGACAGCAAAGAACTAGGAAGGAGTTATAAATCTGGAAGCACGTTTGATATACAAATATTCTCTCTTTATCTCTCTCTTTCTCTCTCTCTGTCTTTTCAGTATGCAAACTTCATCGATAACCTAAGAGTTTTCACCAGGGGAGGAACTGGTGGAATGGGTTACCCTCGTTTAGGTGGAGAAGGTGGAAAAGGTGGTGACGTCTGGGTTGTTGCCCACAACAAAATGACTTTAAAACAACTTAAAGACAAATACCCTAAGAAGCGATTTGTGGCCGGAGAAGGAGCAAATAGTCGGTAAGCATTTACTGAATGACTTTTGGTTTTGTAAAATTAATCTCTCCTGGAGGACAAAAAAAGTTGGAAGCTAAAATTGGTAATTTGAAGTTAATTCCTTTGTTTGTAACTGGGCAAAAGTCTGCAATATTTGTTTCAAGTCTAGTAAAGATAAACTGTAGGTAGAAAGAAATGTTTTAGAGTTTTTCGCTTTAAAATTTTTTTTTTTTTTAAGATTTATTTATTTATACAAGCACTGGGTACAGTCAGAAGCACGGGAAGGTGAGTGAATTCACCAGAGCCAGAGCGGGGAGCAGAACAGGCAGAAGGACCGAAGTACACTGCTGAGGGGAGTAGTGGGCCCGGGAGGAGAGGTCTGTGCACCATGTGGGACCCTCGCCCGGTGGCCGGGGATCTAACCAGCACTGCAGAGGCTGCAGCTTCGCAGCCCAGCGCTCAACTGCTGCACCACCAGGGAGGCCCGCTTTTAAATTTTTTATTCTCCCAAATGTCCCACTTCCAACTAAGATAACAAAATATTCAGCAGCATCACCTGCTGATAAAGGAATCCTTGTAAAAACTAAAAAAAATTTCATTTGAGTATTTTTGTTTTATGATTATTATGATTAGAAACATTTTATTGGGGGCCTTCCTGGTGGCGCAAGTGGTTAAGATGCAACCTATGAAGCTAACCGCAGCCACTGCAGCACGAGTTCGATCCCCAGCCAGGGAGCAACCCACATGGTGCAACAGACCTCTCCTGACTCACCTGCTGCTCCCCTCAGCAGTGTATTTCAGTTAATCTGCGTGTTCTGTTCCCTACTCTGTCTCTGGTGAATCCTCTTACCCCTCATACCCCCTGCACCTCTGATCTGTACCCCAGTTCTTGTATGCATAAAAATAAATCTTAAAAAAAAAGAAACATTTTATTGGGCAAATTTGAGAGCCCTGTGATTTTTAGAATTTTAATAGTAAAAGTATTGAGTTCAGAATGTTATTTTTTTTATTAAGGTAACATTGGTTTACAACATTGTTTATGATTCAGAGATATAGGTTCACATTTCTTCAGATGTATGTTACCAACCCACAGCGACCACCAAACCACTTATGCTCTTCCATCATTGTCCATTGGGCCTGTTATTATTATTATTTTTTTCATTTTGGTGTTACGGGTAGGAAAGAACAGAATTTTTCATCCTGAAGTAAAAACAAAAGTTATTTTACTATTTGTTTTGAAAGGTAATGTTGCTGTAGTTCCAACCTCATTCTGTGTTGCAATTATTTATAAAAGATGGTGTATAATTTCAAATTTTTTTTTTTTAAATGTCTGGGAGTTTTTTTTTTTTTTTTTAAGATTTATTTATTTATATAAGCATTGGGTACAGTCAGAAGCGCGGGAGGGTGAGAGAATTCACCAGAGCCAGAGCAGGGAGCAGAGCAGGCAGAAGGACCGAAGTGCACTGCTGAGGGGAGCAGCGGGCGGCAGGAGAGGTCTGTGCGCCATGTGGGACCCTCCTCCAGTGGCCGGGGTGCAGCTGGGGATCGAACCAGCGCTGCAGAGGCTGCGGGCAGCTTCGCAACCCAGCGCTCAACCTCTGCGCCACTGGGGAGGCCCTAATTTCAAATTTTTAACAAAGACTTAAATAGTATGTTCTCTGTGGGATTTTGTATTGCATATTTTAGAATATAGAGACAAGACTTAATTTTCATTCTTATTTGTTATGACTGGTGAACTTTGTATTAAACTACTTTATTAAAAATAATTACTGCTTCAGTCTCAAAATACCTTTAAGATATTTTGAAATAATTGAAATAATTTTAAAATAATTGAAGTGGTATTTGATTATTATGTCAAGCATTTAAGTCAGTTTAGCTGGGACATGGTTTTATGATGAACAAAAGTATTCTGATGTTAGTAGATGTTACTAGTTATCTGAAATTAATGTTTTCCTCAGCTACCTGTATTTTGAAAATGGTGCTTGAATTAAGCTTGAAAGGCATAAAGGACTTTGCTAGAAGTCAAGGCAAGAAAGGTTGTGTTGGCAAAGTGTGTGTGTGTGTGTGTTCACACATGTGCTCCCTCATGCATGTACATGCACAGTACATATTTATATATGACCTGGATTAAGATGGAACATCCTATTAAGTGAAATTATAGTGATTTCCAGCATAACCATGGTACAAGCGGAGTGGCATTTTGTGAAATAAAGACATTGTAGTTGGATCACGAAGAGCCTGATACACAATGTTAAAGAATGTTTAATATTATCTTAGAGTAACGGGGAATATTAAAGGATTTTACATAGGCAACTGACATTAAATAAATTGGTGTTTTAGAAAAATCACTCTAGAGATGGCTAAATAAGGAGTAATTAGAGGTGATTGAGACTGGAGATGAGATCACTTGGTGAATACTGTAGTATTTCAGAAATACTGATAGTCTGGATTAAAGTCTACTGCGTATCTTTTGGGTCTCATCTTCTCTAATTATGTGTTTGCTGAATTCCAGCTATACTGCCTTTTTTATAGTCTTTTATCACTGGTATTTGTCTTTTATCATTGCATATTTCTTCATGTTATTCCTACAGTGCTTTTTCCTCCACTCTGCCCAAATGGAACCTATTTATCCCTTAGTTCTAAGCTCAAGACTGCTGATTTCTCTCACCTAGGTCAGAATTCTCATACCCACCCAAATATATAGGCTCTCCTTAATAAGACTTGCCACAGTTATTATTTTATATTTTTCATCTGTTTGATTAACATCTGTTCCCCTATGAGACTACTATAACTTTCATGAGGGCAGGGAATGTATTCATTTTAAACCTTTTATGTCATACATCTAGTACATGATTGGCACATAGTAAGATACTCAGTAACATTAGTTGAATGAATGAATTGGATTGACACAAATGGATGGATTCAATCATGTTAGAAAAGTAAAATTTAGTGAATGATGCAGTATTGGAGAATGAGAAATAAAGGTTGACTCCTGGTTTGACTTGAGTAGTGCTAATTTGATAGTACCATTCTCTGAGAAAGATCATAGAAAGAAAATGGCAACTGGGTTGTAGAGTAAGGGTGTTTAAGGGAACTTTGGACATATCCAGCAAGCCCTGGAAATAAATGTTTTGTGGTTTAGAGTATGGTCTAGTTAGAGTCATGGTATTGTTTATCATATGCATGAACCAGGGGAAGTGGGTTACAGAGGAGGAAGGGGTTGAGTGTGAAATTCTGTTATTCACCAATATTTCAGGGGAGGAAACAGAAGGGATGAAGCAAAATGTAGAGCCAAGAGAGACTTGGTGTTGTGGAAGGTAGGGGAGGAAGAATTTGAATTTTATTTGTGTTGTGGCAATGATCTCTATAATCAAGTGTACAATATTTTTGTTAATTATGAGTTACCGCGACTTTGTGGTTATCTTGGTATCTTAAATCATTACTTCATATTATTTTCTTTGGGATGTGATACTCTAAAATAAATAATTAGGGATTATTTTATTTTTCCTCTACTCTTTGACTATTTAACATCTGCATTAGATGAGTTGGTCAGTAGTATTCTTGGTGAATCATTAAACTTGCTTGAATATAAATTATTCCATTTAGTGTATTGTTGTTATTTTAATTTGGCTTAATTTTTGTAGGGTTAGTGCACTAAAAGGCTCCAAAGGAAAAGATTGTGAAATTCCTGTACCTGTGGGTATCTCAATAACTGATGAAGATGGTAAAATTATAGGTAAGTGTACTTTAGATTCTGAGGTCGTGAAAAATTGGACATTTGGGGGAGTAATTTTTTTGAGTTTTGAATTTTTTAAAAAAACATTACCCTTTCCATTGCTAACTTATAAAAGTGCTTTTTAAAACTTTATATAAAAGTTATTCAAAATTAACTGCTAGATTCAAGATTTTTTTTTAAAGATTTATTTATTTATACAAGTACTGGGTACAGTCAGAAGCGCAGAGCCAGAGCGGGGAACAGAACAGGCAGGCCGACAAAGAAATACACTGCTGAGGGGAGCAGCGGGCACGGCAGGAGAGGTCTGCGCACCCTGTGGGACCCTCGCCAGTGGCTGGGGATCGAACTGGTGCTGCAGAGGCTGTGGGCAGCTTCGCAGCCCAGCGCTCAACCCCTGCACCACCCGGGGATGCCCTCAAGATTTTTTTTTTAAAGATTTATTTATGCATGCAAGAGGTGGGGTACAGGCCAGAGATGTGGGGGGGGAGAGGATTCACCAGAGACAGATTGGGGAACAGAACAGGCAGATTGACTGAAATACACTGCTGAGGGGAGCAGCGGGCAAGCCGGGAGAGGTCTGCTGCACCATGTGGGTTGCTCCCTGGCCGCCCAGGGGATCGAACTCATGCTGCAGAGGCTGCGGATAGCTTCTTAGGTTGTGTCTTAACCCCTTGCACCCAGGGACGCCCCTCAAGATTATTTTAAAGATAAGAGTATTTACTGGTTTTAAAACACTTAACTAGTCTTTTTCAATCACTTAGAAACTTGTTTTTCCAGAGTCAAACTTTTAATAGAAACAAATCCTATTGTTTAGCCATTTGGATTTGTGAATTGGAATTTTCTGGTATCTATTTCTGCAGCAAAAATCACTCATGATTACTTCCACTTACTAACATTTGTGCTAATCTTTCTTTTTAAAGGAGAAGTCAATAAAGAAAAAGATAGACTTTTGGTAGCTCAAGGAGGTCTTGGTGGTAAATTACTTACAAATTTCCTACCAATGAAAGGCCAGAAACGAATAATTCACCTTGATCTTAAACTGATAGCTGATGTAGGTCTAGTGGGGTAAGTAGCATTTTAATTTTTATTTTAATACTTTTGGAGAGATAGCTCATGAATAGGAAATTAATGGAAGTAGTAATTTGGAAACAACTTTATTTTATGGAATTTGTGCATTGTGTATTTTGAGAATATATGTCGTTATTTTCATATTGCCAACATATAGTTTCATAGCTACTACTCATTTGCCAAAGATCATAGTGATCGAATAGACCAGTAGAAATGTTAAAGAATGAATAAAGAAAGAAAAAAATCAATCATGTTTAGTAGTGTATGAAGAGAATAGACCATAACCGGATGTTACGGAATAAAATAAAAAACCCAAACAGACCACATCAAGAAGATGTATACAAAGAAAGAGAAAGGGAAAAAGTAATCGAGAAACTTTACAAGTATTAATAGAGGTAATGAGTTGTCATTAATCAGATGACTAAAGGCTGTTACAGATGTCTCAAATATCAGACTTACTCACTATTGATCACTGAGTTGGATCCTGCTATGACTCTTTCCCTATTGGTCATGTTGTGCTTAGGATCTGTCTATTTGTGGTACTGCATATTTTATGATATTGTCCTTTTCACCTACTTCCATTCTTCCATCAGTGTTGTTTAGCTGGAGGGCTTGTAGTGTTGACACCAGCTGGAGTAAGTTAGATAGCATGACATGTAGTAAATAAAATAAGGAAAAACTTCAACATTACATTTCCCCTTCCCTGCCCTACTGCGTTACACAAGTCATCAAATGGCAGGTCTAAGGAAAAGGTAGAGAAAATTGCCTTATTGCTGCATTATTCCAGACTGCCAGATCTATTTCTTGTCTTCCCATAACTTTTCTTCTAAGCTCTTTTCATCTCTTTTTTCCTCATCATCTCTCTAGCCTTCCTCACCTATCTTATCAGCATTGACTTAGTCCTCAGCGTGACTCCATTCTAGCTCAAGTTTTTGTTTTTTTTTTAATTTTTTTTTTTTTTTGAGGGGAGCAATGGGCGAGGCAGGAGAGGTCTGCCACACCATGTGGGATTCTCACCGGCCGACCGGGATCAAACCCGTGCTGCAGAGGGTGCAGACAGCTTCACAGTGCGGTGCTCAACCGCCTGCGCCACCAGGGAGGCCCATAGTTCAAGTTTTAATAGGGAAAGATGGGATCCTGGCATTCAAGCTTATCATTCACATTTAATTTTTTCCAATAAAATATGATTATGAAACAAACATATCGGTGATGTAATACTACATATTTTTCAGGAATATTATGAATTTAATAGGATTTTGTGGATAAGACTTAGAATCCAGCCATTCACAATCTCATTTGGTATAAAAATGTACTTCAAGTTCCCGTGGGGATGTCTTTACATGCTAAGAAGAGCCTAGCAAGGCTGAGAAATAAAGGTGATGTTGACATTGGGGATTCCATTGAGACTATTTGTGTTAGCATCTCAAATCCTCTGAAGGCTGCCTAGATAGTCTTAGTTAAGTTATATGTTCTTTCTATATCTGTTTTCTTATCTTTAATGGTGGTTGGAGATAGTTCTCAGTTTAAAATGTTATTTGATGAGTAAGATACGTTTGCAACATAATGCATGCCTTGGATTTATGAAAGCTTAGTGAATAAAGGGTGGCTGCTGTCATCATTATATTGCCAATCTTTTGGAGATTACTTGTCATGAACTGTTAAGCTTTTCAGAAGTGAGTTTGAAATTATAGTCAACAATAAACGAATCAAAAATTTATTTTTGTTTTAATGTTTTTTTTTTAATTTGTTTTTGTTTTTATTGATTTACCATTGGTTTACATCCTTGTTAGTATTTAGAACTATAGGATCCCCCTTTCAGGTGTTGTCTCCATAGTAAACTCACCCCCAAAGCACCCATAGTCCTTCCATAGTCCATTCTCTCTCCTCACTCTGATGTCACCCCTCTTTCTTTTTCTCTCACTCTCCTCCTTTATCTCATTAATTGCTTTATTTCTGATGCCTGCTATATTGCTTGTAACAAGTCAGTGTTCACTTATTTGTTGGGTAAACTTTTTTTTTAAACTATAATTGACTAATATTACTTTCAGGTTTACAACATAATGTCATATTGTATATATTGCAGATTGATTGCTACAATAGCCTAATACAGCCTACCTTAAAATGTGGCTTTTGTGAAATTGGCCAGAGACTCTGCTGCTTGTGGCACCAATGATTCAATCAGAGCTTTTCCTGCTTCTCTGTGACCTGAGGTTTCCAGTGGGAGCCCTCAGTGTATATCCATATGATTGCAAATGGGAAGATATCTTTTTGTTATGGCTGAATAATATTGTGCTCTGTGTGTGTGTGTGTGTGTGTGTATAAATAATCATATTTGCTTTATCCATTCATCCCCTGATGGACAATTATGTTTCATGTCTTTGTATTGTAAATAATGCTGCAGTGATGGGGATACTTACATACTTTTAAGTTAATGTTTTTGTTTTCCTCAGATAAATGTCCAGAAGTGAAGTTTTCTGGATGATATGATAGATCTATTTTCAATGTTTTTGAGGAACTATCATACTATTTTCCATAGTGGCTACACCAGTTTACATTCCCATTTGTTGAGTAAAGTTAATGAAAATATCTGAATGAAATTTAGAAAGTCATGTCTTAAGTGACTTCCATTCCTTGTACTTTTATTCATGCATGGTTGGCCTTTCATGCATGGTTGGCCTTTAGTAATCAAATCAAAGCTTTTAAAATGAGCATATATTTTAATCCACTATTTCTTCATTTAGAATTCGACTAAGAGTTTAAAGGTATGAGTAGAGGTTCAGGGATAGTCACTGCAGTGTTTAAATTTTTTGAAAAAATATGAAATAACAATTGTCATTTGCAGAAAGAAAAAAAATAGTTGCTTATTAATCCTACCTCTCTTTGGTAGGATCATTATATGTCTTTCAGCTGTATGGACATTTTTTGCAACAATCTATATAATAGCAAAATAGCCTAAATGCCTAACAACAGGAAATTAGTTGAGAAGATTGCAGTGCAACCTTAAAAGGTGTTCAACTTATATCATTCGATTTAAAAAAGAGGCCAACCATCTTTCAGGAAAAAAAAAAAAAAAGAAACAATCCTGAATCTGATCAAAGCTTTATATCTTACTGATTTATGGAAAATCCAGGACAGAGGAACACATTAAATGACATCAAGGGGTGCCTAAAGAAAAAAACAGATTGTAAAAGAGAAACTCTACGGGAAAAATGACCCCATTTCTTTAAAAATAAAATTGCAAAGAAAAACAAGATGATTGGGAGGCTATGCCAAGAGAAATTTAAGAGACAAATCCACCAGTCTAATACATGGACCTTATTTGGGTCCCTATGCAAATAAATTCACTTTTAAAAGCTGTGTTGCAATTGTATTAATATCTGTTGAAATGGGGTCACAGCTAAGTGGGATTCATTAATGTGTGTTCTCTAGATGCATCTACCCCCTTTCATCAACAGAACCTTTGTTTACATGCTGTTTCTTTTGACTAAAAGATCCTTGACTATCACTGTCTGTCAACTCATATTTATTCTTCATATCTCAGTCCTAGCATCACATTCCCCAAAGAAGTCTATGTTTGTGTATGTTTGGAATTGTCCATTTTTTTAAACCATAAAACAATATGAGTAATAGCTGTCAGTATTTTGCTAAAAATAGCAAATTGCAAGTATTTTTATTTTTTTTCTATGATACTTAACTTTTTAAAAATATAACTTGAATTATTTACTTTCTCAATATTGAAACATCTTCAGTGTTTTAGTATTTCAGTACTGAAATGAATGTCCAGAATGAGTCTTCCTAGCTTTTTCATAAACCTTCTTTATGTTTAAAATTTTGAAGTTTATTTTATATTTATATCCTACTCTTAATCCCAGAAATATTCAGGTCATTAAACCTTTCCTGTGAAATGTTTTGAATTCAGACATAGCAAGTATTAATAATAATAATGATACTTATTTACATAATTTTATTTTTTCATTTCAGATTCCCAAATGCTGGAAAATCTTCTTTGCTAAGTAAAATTTCTCATGCAAAACCTGCAATTGCAGATTATGCATGTAAGTGTAACTTGTATATTTTAATGTGTAGAGGTAAATTTTAAAAGAGATCTTTTTCTGAATATGAAAACTCTGAGGGTAACCTTAGTTTGAAAACTTCACGGATAGTATACATACATTGCCAATTACCTTTGACACCTCTGTAGCCCTCAGCAAAGCACCTACTGCTGGTTAGACACTTTGTTGCCTTAGTTCTCTGTTGCATAATCATTTATTTGGTTTAGCTGTGGTGTTATGAGCACCTCCCTTTATCAAGCAATGTGATAAATAATAGGAAGGCAGAGGTGAATTCTGTCATTCATTTAACAATTATTTATCTCTGATACCCACAATAGATTCTGGGGTTAGAAAGACTGATAAGCAGGAATGGATACTATTCTGACTTTCATTGAGCTTACAGACTAGTGGCAGAAGGCACATATATCATAATGAATATAAGGGAATATGATTCTATTAAAGTACATAGGTTATTGCTGTACATTTCTTTGGGGAACTGTGATGCCACGGGTGAGATAGGAAGAATAAATATGAGTTAATCAGTAACAGATAGTGGAAAGGTCCATTATAGGAAAAGAGGTGAAAGGTCTTTTATAGGAAAAGAATTTCACAAAGATTCTGTGGTGGCAGTGAGTAGATTAATGTGTCTGGGAACATGAGGAAATCAAGATGAGACTGGAAATGTAGGTAGAGACCATGTCATACAAGCAATATAGGTTGCATTTGATTTTATATCTTGTTTTTTCAAGTAACAGTTACCTGTTTTTATTTTTTTATAATTTAAAACATGTTTAATTTGGGGGTTACATTTTTGCACATGTTGTACTCACCCTCCGCCATGCCACTAGTTCCAATACCCACTCTGCTACTCTCCCTCATTGCCTTTACCTTTCCTCTGTTCACTCTGGTAACCATTAAATTTTTTCACTAAGTTCAAGATTATTATATCTTATAAGCAGCTGATAACCTTTTAAACAAGGGATAAATGATTCAATACACTTTTCAAAAAGATCTCTCTGCATATGAAAAAGAAAATGGATTGGCGTGGGACATAAGTGGGTCAGAGTAGAAAAGATAGTAAACTTGTAATGACTAGATTAAGTAGGGAATGATATGATAGAATTTCTGTAGTCATTAAACAGGGAGACATAGAATGATGTCAACCTCATAAGTAAAATGAAGGCATTCTAAAATTAGATTCTAATGAATTAGAGTTAATTTTGCACTTATAAATATTGTGGCTACTATTTATTGTTATAATGCAGGAGACTCCTGAGAAGGGAAAAAGAAGCTAGTAATAAGTCCCAAGAAGACTAGTGCAGGATTGGTGAGGCTTAACGAAACCGAATGAGAAAAGACTCAAGTGTTTCTACAGACCCAGTGATAGAAAATTAAATTCTCATACCCTGACATCTTTATCATGCTCTTTGAAATGCAATAGAGAAACTTTGAGACCCAGTAACTAATTAGACCTAGGCCTACAAAAATTACAAAAATATATTTGTCATTAAACCAAACACAGTTTTAGCTTCCATTTCAATAAGTGAGAACATAATCTGAATTATTCACAGAAAAGTGATACTGTTTATTTTATACATAATGCATAAGAAATTTGAGAGTTAATCATTCTAACCTTACCTTTATTGTTGTTTGTATTTTTTTCCTTCAGTTACAACATTAAAACCTGAACTTGGAAAGATAATGTATGAAGACTTCAAACAGGTAAGTATTTTTAAAATAAGATCCTTCAATAGAAGTAAAAGTACTTGCTTTTGGTATTTGAATTTTGTAATATTCAAATGTTTCTGTGGTGTTAGAGGGAAAGAAATGGCAAGATTTTATTTTATGATAAGTGAAAACATGATCAAATAAATTCTGCTGAGTGATAATGAAAAATTTTCATTATAATGAAAAATCATATAATAAACTTTTAAAAAAATGTGTTATTATTAAAGTTAAATTGGTTTATAATACTGTATATGATATAGGGATATAGATTCACAGCTCTGCAGATGTGAGAGAGCCAGAGCACTAATAATCTTCCACAGTAGTATACTGGCCCCTTACACCCTTGGCTCCCTTCCATCTTTCAACCTCAATTCTATAGTCAGATTTCTAGGTTTGTTTTGGTGTCCTCCCTGTTTTCTCTGTATTCCACCTGGTATTTGTCCTTCTGACTTACTTCACCTTTCATAATCCTTGCCTGGTCTGTTCATGTTGTCAAAAATGGCAAGATTTCATCTCTTTTTTTTTTTAATGGTTGAGCAATATTCATTGTGTGTATATACCACATCTTTTTAATTTACTTGTGTTTTTGGACAGTTAGGTATTTCCATAACTTTGCTATTGTAAATAGTGCTGCAGTGAACATAGGAGTGCATGTATTCCTTCAAATTAGTGTCTTTGCATCCTTTGGATAGATACCAAGAAGTAGAATTGCTGGATCATATGGTAAATCTATTTTTTTAATATTTGAGGAGCCTCCTTACTGTTTTTCCATAGGAGCTGAACCAGTCTACATTCCCACCAACAGTAGATGAGGGTTCATTTTTCTCCACACTATCACCAACACTTGTTTCTGGTAGTTTTGGCATGGAGCATTCTCAACAGGTGTGAAGTGCTATATCATTTAGTTTGGATTTGTATTTCTTTGATCATAAGTGATGATGAGTATTTTCCATATGCCTGTTGGTCATCAGTATGTTGTCTTTGGAGAACAGTTGGTTTTCTTTTGTTGAGTTGTATGAGTTCTTTGTAGATCTTTGATATTAGTCTCTTGTGGGATGTATGATGTGCAAATATTTTCTCCCATTTAGTAAGATGTCTTTTCATTTTAATGATAGTTCTTTTACTGTGTAAAAGCTTTTTAATTTGATATAGTCCCATTTGTTAATTTTTCTTTTGTTCCCCTTGCTATTGTAGGCATAGCTCCAAAGAAATCTCTGAAGCCAATATTTCAGAGTAATTTGCCTATGTTTCTTTTTCTATGTACTTTATGGTTACAGATCTCACATCCTAGTGTTTGATCCATTTTAAATTAAAATTTTTGTGTATGCTGTGAGGTAGTGGCCTCGTTTCATTGTTTTGCACGTACTCTTTGTTTTCTCAGAACCATTTGTTGAAGAGACTCTCCTTCCTCCATTGCATATTCTTCACTCCTTTGTCATAAATAACTTTCGTTATAAGTTGGATTGACTTCTGGGCCTCTCAGTTCTATCCCTTTGGGCCGGATGTCTCTTTCTATTCCAATACCATACTGTTTTGATTGCTATAGTTTTATAGTGTACTTTGAAGTCTGGGTATATGTATTTACCCAAATGAGTGGAAAATTTACATCCATACAAAAACTTGTACATGGATTTGTAGCAGCTTTATTTTACAAAAACTTGGAACCAAAGTTCCAACTACCAAAACTTGGAAGCAACCAGACATTAATAGATGAGCGGATAAACTATAGTATATCAAGGCATGTAATAGTTAGCACTAAAAAGAAATGACCTGTTTAGTCATGAAAAGACATAAGGAATTTTATTTTTAAAGATTTATTTTATTTATTTATACATACACAAACTGGAGTCTCGGCCGGAGGTGGGGGTCAGGGGGTAAGAGGATTCACCAGAGACAGTAGGGAGAACAGGCAGATCTTCTGAAATACAGTGCTGAAGGGACCAGTGGGCAAGACAGGAGAGGTCTGCTGTGCCATGGTTCAGCTTTGCTTCCTGGCCTGGGATCCAACTCATGTTGAAGTGGCCGGTGATAGCCTGGTAGCGCTGAGACTTAACCCCTGCACCACTAGGGAGGCCTCCGACATGAGGAATTTTAGATGTTTGTTACTGAGTGAAGTTCAATGTGAGAAGGCTATGTACTATATGATTCCAACTATACAACATTCCGGGGATCAAAAGCAAAGCTAAGGAAATAGCTAAAATATCAGTGGTTGCCAAGAATTGGGAATGTATGGAATGAACCAGCAGAGCACAGAGGAGTTTTAGATTAATACAACTATTCTGTTGTACTGATACATAATAGTTGATAAATGTTCTACATTTATCAAAACTCATGGAGTACACAACACCAAGAGTGAAACCGTAATATAAAGTATGGACTTAGGATGATAATATGTGTCACTGTAGTTTCATTTTTTTTTTTAAGAAGTGGGGTACAGGCCAGAATTGCAGGGGGTGAGAAGACTCACCAGAGAGAGCAGGGAGCAGAACAGGCAGATGTAGCAAAATACACTGCTTAGGGGAGCAGCAGGCGAGGCAGGAGAGTTCTGCTGTGTCATACGGGTTGCTCCCCAGCCTTCCCAGGATCAAACTCGCACTGCAGAGGCCATGGACAGCTTTGCAGTGCTGCGCTCAACCCCCTGCGCTGCCAGGGAGGCCCATTGTAGTTTCATTGAATCCTATGACAAAATTCAAGAGATGAAAGATTTTTATTTGATTATAATAGTGACATGACAGTAAAAAATATGAAGATCTCAACAGTTACATAGAATATTAAGTAAAATGTAAACATAGGATAATATGAATATAGAGAATAATATTTAGGGGAAAGGAGAACATTGTAATTCTTAAATCAGTAGAGAACTTCCAAGGAAAATTTCAGGATGTGAGATCTCTGTTGTATACACTGCTTTGTCACATAGCTACAACTTCCTTTGAGACTCAGAATTCCTTGTCCACATAGGGCAGTGAGTGTAGAGCAGTGCTTCTCATTCCTTACTGCACATCAGAATTATTGGCTTAAGAATAGTAATGATAAATGAAGCTGAGTCCAGGGATTTGAGACCTTATCTCTTGTGGATAGGACCCTGGGGATCAGTAGTTTATAATAAAGTTCACTAGGTGATTCTGATGTATAGTGAGATTAGAAAACCAGTGTAGAGTGATGGTTAGTAAATCTTAGGATCTCCAAAAGGAATTTTATTTTATTTATTTTTTTTAAAGATTTATTTTATACAAGAACCAGGGTACAGGCCAGACGTGCGGGGAGGGTGAGAGGATTCACCACAGACAGAGCGGGTAACAGAACAGGCAGACTGACAACGAAACACACTGCTGAGGGGAGCAGCGGGCGAAACAGGAGAGGTCTGCCACGCCATGTAGGACCCTCACCAGCCGGCTGGGTTCGAACCGGTGCTGCAGAGGCTGCGGACAGCTTCACAGCGCGGTGCTCAACCACCTGTACCTCCAGGGGAGGCCCCAAAAGGAATTTTAGAATGCTATATGCTTTACTTTTTTAAAAAATTTTATTTATTTATACAAGAGCTTGGGTATAGGCCAGAGACGCAGGAGGGTGAGAGAATTCACCAAAGACAGAGCGGGGCGTAGAACAGACAGACGGATAGAAAGCACTGCTGAGGGGAGCGGTGGGTGAGACAGGAGAGGTCTGCCACGCCATGTGGGTATTTCCCTGGCCAGCTGGGCATGCTGCAGAGGCTGCGGACAGCTTCATAGTGCTGCGTTCAACCTGCTGAGCCATTGGGGAGGCCCTATATCCTTTACTTTTTAAGAATGGTCAATAATAATCCTCTTGGTGGAATAGGAGCAATGGTGTGAAAAAATCAATTACACATTAAAACTTAAAAATTTTTTTGGCAGTATTTTATTTTCAATTATTTATTTTTCACATCATTGTTCATTTTTTTTAAACACATTTATTTATTTACGCATACAAGAGCTGGGGTACAGGCCAGAGATGCGTGGGGTGAGAGGATCCACCAGAGAATAGGCAGACTGACTGAAACACACTGCTGAGGGGAGCAGCAGGTGAGACTGCCTAGGTGAGAGGAGAGGTGACTGCCTAGGTGACAGCAGAGGAGAGATCTGCCTCACCATGTGGGTTTCTTCCTAGCCTGCCGGGGATCAAACTCGTGCTGCAGAGGCTGTGGATTGCTTCATAGTGCGGTGCTTAACCCCTTGGGCTACCAAGGAGGCCTCATTGTTCATTTTTAAACAATATTTGCTTTCACCCTCCCCCACAGGTGTAGTCCCCATAGAATTTCCTTCACCAATGCACCCGTGCACCATCAGCATAGTCCCCTGTGCTCCTCCCTCCCTCCTCCTCCCCTGCATGATGTCTCTGGTTTATAATTGTCTCTTTTTGTTTTGTTTGTTTTGTATTGTTACTGTTTTTTTTTTTTTTTACACTGACGTCTTATTTGGTTGCCCTGTATTTCTCCTATAAGTGAAACCATCCAATATTTTTCTTTCTCCTTCTGATTTATTTTACTGAGCATACTTCCTTCTAGCTCTATCCACATTGCTGTGAATGGCATAAGTTTATCTTTTTTGATTGCTGAGTAATATTACATTGTGTGTATATATATCACATCTTCCAGGTTTTACCATATTAAATAGTGCTGCAGTAAACATAAGGGTACAGGTGTTCTTTTGAATCAATGTAAAACTTAAAATTTAAAGGTGAAAACTATAGACCTAATTTTTAAATGAACTGAACTAATATACTTATAAACTTCTAAGAATTTAGATTTAAAAGTTGAAAATCGATGAAAAGATCATTAAACAAGATAATTTATAGAATTCCAAAGAGAATTTATGTGATCAATGAATGTTAAACTAATCCCAAAAAAACTGTTGTATTAATAAGTAAAAATGGGACTCATTTCTGTGAACAAAGAATTTTGATTTTTAATACATTAATTTTGTTCTAAAGGTATATTGGCTTTACCAAGATGTTGTGGTAATCACAAATTAGGGACTGTTTATATTTGAAATATGAAAATTTGATAATATGATCATGGTTGTGGTTCTCATATATTCTTTTATCAAATCATTTTACTTTGTATTAGATATCAGTGGCTGATCTTCCTGGTTTAATAGAAGGAGCACATATGAACAAAGGAATGGGCCACAAATTCCTGAAGCATATCGAAAGAACCAGACAACTACTTTTTGTTGTAAGTCATATGCATACCAATGTAATGTTCAAATGAATATGAAAATCAATGAATTTATTTTTCCTAGATGCCTTTTTTATAATAAGATTTAAAGTAGTAGCATATTTTAGTCCATTAAGTCTGTTTAGATGGGGAGTCAAATACAGTAAGTAATCTTTATTTATAATAAAAGGATGGATGTGGAATTTTTTATTATATCAGATGTAATTTTGACCATACTAGTCAAGGTTTAAATCCTTAAGGTTTTTGACATACTGCGATATTGTATAGTATCTTTCTTTGGCACTCTAGTTACATATGAAATTGTTTGTATCAGTGTAAATTATCTATACTGTTTTCTCATTTTATTAATGATTGCCATTTTATCAGAAAAATTCTCACTTCAATTTCTCTGATTCATTTTGAATTTTTAAATTAACAATATAGATTAAGAAATGGTTTTAGCTTGAGAGAATTAAGACGTTTCAAACATAGAAATGTATAGCTGTTCTCATGTTAAAGACTCTTTCCCTTTTTTTAGGTCGATATTTCTGGTTTTCAGCTTTCTTCCAAAACTGAATACAGAACTGCCTTTGAAACCATAATACTGCTTACAAAAGTAGGTCTTCTGTTTCATAAATCTTTATGCTGCATCTAGTCTAGTATATAGACAAGTAGAACTATATGAATTAACATGTAATAATTAAATATATACTCCACCTCCTTTTTTTTAAAGGTTTAGTGTCAATTTAAGAATTATCTAAACTTGCCGTTTTTAGATTCTCCATACTCACTTGCTCCTCAAATTATTATAATCAGTAAAACCCTCCAATTTAAAAAATCCCTTCTCAGACTTTATTTTGCTTAAACTTTGAGACAGTGGTTATTTCTGAAACATTCTCCATTCCTGGTTTCATAAATTGGTTTTACTTCTCTATTTTTCAATCTACTTCTTAAGCAGTTTTCTACTCACTCTTTAAGTAGCTTTCAGATGCTGTTCAGACTACTGACTGTCAAATCATTGTCTGATAACCAGATTTTTTTGTTGTGCTTTAGACCCACTTCCTATTGGGCATCTTTAATCGGATGTCTCATCTGCCCCCTCAAACTTAATATATATAAAACTGAACTCATTACAAAAAAATTTTTTTAACTCTCTGGTCTCTCCCAGAACTTAGTACTGAATATGGAAGCCAGAAATCTGGGTGGTGGTCTTTCCTTCTCTCTAACCACTTCAAGCCCAGTCAGTTTTATATCCTAAATCTCTCTGAAATCCATCTACTTGTCTTCATTTTCATTATTATAATCATTATAGTAGTTGTAAGTCCCTTCTGTCTGATCTCCCTACTTCCAGTCTCTCTTCTCTAATCTGTTTTTATGTGGCAGCTAGAACAACCTTTATAAAAGAGCTAAGATGATCTTTGTTCCTTGCCTAAAACACTTCGATGGTCCCCCATTGCTATTTGGTTAAATTCTAATCTGAACATGGTTTATGTGGTCTGGCAAGGTTTGTGCCTGCCTGGTAAATCCATCTCCACTCTAAATTCTATTATTCAACCATATGATTACTGTCTAATACACTTCAAAGCAACTTAGAGGTCACTTACCTCTAGGACTTTGTATATCCTATTTTCTTTTTTTTTTTTTTAAGTTCTTTTATTATTATTATTTTTTTTTTATAGAGGCATGTTTTATTTATTTTTTTGTTTGTTTTGTTTATACATGCACTGGGTACAGTCAGAAGTGTGGGAAGGTGATAGAATTCACCAGGACCAGAGCAGGGAGCAGAGCAGGCAGAAGGACTGAAGTACACTGCTGAGGGGAGCAGCGGGCAGCAGGAGAGGTCTGCACACCATGTGGGACCCTCCTCCGGTGGCCAGGGAGCAGCTGGGGATCGAACCAGTGCCGCAGAGGCTGCGGGCAGCTTCGCAACCCAGCGCTCAACCACTGAGCCACCGGGGAGGCCCTGTATATCCTATTTTCTTTGACACTTTTTGCCCATTAGAATAATAGTGCTGGGCTGGGCCTCCCCTGGTGGCACAGCGGTTGAGCGCTGGGCTGTGAAGATGCCTCAGCGCCGGTTCGATCCCTGGCCACCAGGGAGGGTCCCACATGGCGCTACAGACCTCTCCTGCCGTGCCCGCTGCTCCCCTCAGCAGTGTATTTCGTCAGTCTGCCTGTTCTGTTCCCCGCTCTGGCTCTGGTAGATTCTCTCACCCTCCCGCGCTTCTGACTGTACCCAGTGCTTGTATAAATAAATAAATAAATCTTAAAAAAAAATAAAAGAATAATAGTGCTGGGAACATTTATGTACAGGTTTTATATGAACATGTTTTCATTTTTCATGGGTATCTAATACCTATGGAGTGGGATTGCTAGATAATATGTTAACCATGTGTTTGACAGAACTGCCAAACTAGTTTTCATTGTGGCTGCACCATTACCCCATTTTACAGCCCCACTAGTATGAGGATTCCAGTTTTTCCACATCAATGTTACCATTTATTATTATCTATTTTATTAATTTTTGCATTCCTGGCGGTGATATTGTGGTATTTCATTATGGTTTTTGATTTTCTTTCTCTAGTGACTAATGACAATCATCTTTTTGTGTGCTTATCAGCCATTTGTATGTCTTTGGAGAAATGTCTGTTCATATTCTTTGCCCATTTTTTAGTTGGAATGTTTGTCTTTTTGTTGAATCAGATACATTATTTGCAAATATTTTCTCCCATTCTCTGAGTTGTCTTCTCACTCTCTTTATGATACCCTTTGAAACTCAAAATTTTAAATTTTGATGAAATCCCATTTATTTTTTTCTTTTGCTTGTGCTTTTGGTATTTTATCTAAGAAACTATTACTAAGCACATGTACTTTCTCCAAGAAAAATATAGGTATAACATTAGACTGTCATTATTCACTTATGCATTCACTTATGTACTTAACAGACGTCCACATTTGACTCTAGGTACAAAGTCATAACTATTTCAAGATGTCATGTGAACTAAAATATATTAACATATGAACTAACTAGGAAGCATTTTCTGAATTTCCTTTGTTAATTAGTTTTGTGGTTGTTGTTGGAGATGCGAGTGGACTCTAGATTACTCTGGTCTATAAAGTAAAGAAACACATTACCAAGTAGGTGATTTATATAAATATTTTAATAAAATTATTTGTTTTTTTCTCTTTTTTATTTAAAGGAGTTAGAGATGTACAAAGAGGACCTTCAGACAAAACCTGCACTTCTAGCAGTTAATAAAATGGACTTGCCAGATGCCCAAGATAAATTCCATGTACTGATGAATCAACTCCAGAATCCTAAAGGTAAACAATTTAATGAAAACTTGCAATGTACCGAGAATGCTAAGTTCAGTAATCAGTGGAAAAGAAAACTGACAGTTGCTACTCTTTAAAAATACATATGTTTAAAGAAAGAACACATACCATTTAAATAACATTATAATAATTCTCAGGTTTCAAAATAAATCATATGAATAGTAAGAGGAGACAAAAGAAAAATTAATTTGACTAAGGTTAATCTTCATGAAGAAGTAAAACTAAAAATGGACTCAAAAAATTAATGGGGGGGGAGCGCCTCCCTGGTGGCGCAAGGGGTTAAACGGCTGCACTATGAAGCAGTTACAGCCAGGAAGGTGACCCACATGGAGCAGCAGACCTCTCCCGGCTCGCCTGCTGCTCCCCTTAGCAGTGTATTTCAGTAAATCTGCCTGTTTTGCTCCCCATTCTGTCTCTTGTGAATCCTCTCACCCATCACATCTCTGGCCTATACCCCAGCTCTTGTATGCATAAATAAATAAATATTAAAAAAAAAAGTTAATGGGGTTTGAGTCAGAATTTTTTAAAAGTCAGCATCTACCTGTGAAGTCTTTCACTTTAATGCATATCACAAGTTCTAGAACTTCATTCCCTTAGTACACCAGAAATTTAAAAACAGAGTTAATAGTTCCAACTTGTATCTATCTTTGCAATGTGAGCTCTCTTGATCTCCAAAATACACAGATTTTCTAAAACTTCAAAACTGGAGTATCTGTGTATATGTCACAATGAATGATAGATTCTGTTACTCCTAAGGGATTTATTTGTTTGAAATTCGTTCCTAAATGAACCACTTTTTGTAAAGGAACTTAGAGGGATTCTCCACAGTTTTAGATATTGACCTTTGCAGAACACTATCCTCTAGTGCTGATGCTTTCATTTTTCTGAGATTAGTAGATGACTTCGCATTAAAATGAGGAAAAGTAGGATGGTAAATGTCTAAAGTGTTTAAATGGTACTTTCTCCAATTTAAAAAGTAATTTATCTCTTTTTATCCTTGGCAATAAAACTGAGGAAAATAAATTATAGTATACTAGGACTAGAAGGTGACACCAGAAGATCCTTTCTTCCCTCAAAATCTTTCCCCTATGTAGTTTACGTATTGGGGCTGTCCTTGAGTTAATAATTTACATTGAGACATAAATATTCCCTTTAAATTATGTTATATTAAAGTCATTGGATCTGTTTGCTACTAGGTTATGCAGAAAAGGACCTTTTCAGTTGAGGTAGCAGAAGGGAGGCTAACTTAGAAGTTTGTAGCTATTCTGGATTGTCAGCACCCACAGTGATCAGTGATCGTTCCTGATTAGCCTCTGAATTTCCTTTGGAACATATGAATCTCAGAAATCAAGCTCCATTTTGGCTTATTTAATCTTTCATTTCAGCCTTTTCAGTACATATTTTAACCCATCCCATCAGTATGTCATCCTACCTCCTACCACCTTAGTGTCAGGGTAAATGAAAAAGTAATATAACAGCTGTCAAGCTTTGTGGAGTGATAGATTGGAGTCATCTGAAATGAACTGCCCTTGAAATCTCTCATACACTTTCAATTTTAGTAGGACTCCTTTCACCAATGTTAAGTCTGTCCTTGAGGGCAGTTAAAGGCTATCAGTATATTGAAGCAAGCTAGGACATGCCAAATCATGAATGATATTATTTTTTTTTAAGATTTATTTATACATATAAGAACTGGGGTACAGGCCAGAGGTGCGGGGGGTGAAAGGATTCACCAGAGACAGAGTGGGGAACAGAACAGGCAGATTGACTGAAATACACTGCTGAGGGGAGCAGCGGGTGAGTCAGGAGATGTCTGCTGTGCCATGTGGATCACCTCCCTGGCCTGGAATGGAACTCATGCTGCAGTGGCTGCGGATAGCTTCATAGTTCTGCATTTTAACCCCTTGTACCACCAGGGAGGCCCCGAATTATGTTATTTTTATAGAAAGATCCTTTAAGAGCACCTATGTTGCCTCATTTTATTGAACTCTTCTCAAAAGCAACATTTATTGTTTCTATGTGTAAATCATCTTCTCTGATTCATATTTTATTTATACTTAATTTGGTTTTAAATATCATAATTTAACAAATATTTTGCAATCAAAAAAGATAAACTCATGCCATTCACAGCAACATGGATGGAGCTAGAAGGGATCATGCTCAGTGAAATAAGCCAGAGGGAAAAAGAAAAATATCGAATGGTTTCACTTAGAGGAGGAATATAGGGGAACCAAATAAGGGATGGGGGGGAATAATAATAAAACAACAAAACTAGCAGGCAACCATAAATAAGAGACATTCTGTGAGGGTGGGGAGGAAGAGGGATCGAAACAGGGGAGAGAAGAACACGAAGGACTATGGTGATTGTTCACAGGTGATTTGGTGGTGGGACTTCTACAAGGAATACACAATGATGTAAAAGATATAAATTTTTAAAAAATTGTAAAAAAAATATTTACTAAGCATCTGTCATGTGCTAAGAACACTAGCTAAAAGGTAAAGATATGAGTATTAGAGAGAAGGAAAAAGGGAATTAAAAATCCTAAATTTCCCATTCCTTGCAGTTTTGACTTATTTTCAAAGAAAGTGAAAATCAACTTAGTTTTGTATTCTTTGTTGCAGACTTTTTACATTTATTTGAAAAAAAATTGATTCCAGAAAGGACCATGAAATTCCAGCATATCATCCCTATTTCTGCAATTACTGGAGAAGGAATTGACAAATTGAAGGACAGTATAAGACAATCACTGGATGAGCAAGCTGACCGGGAAAATGATTCATACCATCAGAAACAGTTGCTTAATTTACAGACTTCCAAAACAATATCTTATAGTGAGCCACCATCAAAGAGTGCTACTACTAGTTCCAGAATGGATATAATTTAAAATTATTAAAAATGATATTGACATTATGTTCATTTGAAAGTTTTTCCACAGACATATTTTTTTTTTAAAGGTTAGTTACTCCCGATCTTCTGATATACATGCCATCGTTCAAAAACTACTTTTTGAAGTTGTTCTGTATTTAAGTGTATTAATAGTAAAAACCTGAGTGCTAAAAAGGAGTTTATAATTTTATGACCAATACACCTATAATAAATATCCTCCAATGTACTTGTACTAAGATATGTCTAGTGAGATAATTTCTAAAAATTATATAAAAGAATTCCCCAAATATTGTTGGAATGAGCAACTAGCTTTTGTTGCCTAGTGGTTAACTCTCAGCCCTGTCATCTCTATGGCCTGAGTTCTATCCTCACCCAGAGAGCTAACCCACATGGCACAGCAGACCTATCTTGCCTTCTGCTCCCCACTCTGTCTCTGGTGAATCCTCTAACCCCCTGAACCTCTGGCCTACACCCCTGTTCTTCTATGCAAAAGTAGAAATAAAAAAACACATAATAAATACTCAGGAATTTGTTTATTCATAGGTGAAATCTTTAGAGCACAGATCCAAATTCACAGTATGATGTATTTTAATATAATACTTAAGTGTCTGGTGGTATAAACTTGTAATTCATGATGGTAAATAAATCTGATATAGCAAGCTCTGGCACTTGGTAAAAAAGTTGTTATACATAGTGTACTAATACCCTACACCTCAGTTAAGTATTACCTAAAGTATATAATTTGAAAGATAAAAATGAAAAAGTCTTGCTTAAGGATATAAGGCAACTGACATGACCTTGAAAGGTTTATTTTAAAGTAAATCTTTAAGATTTTTAAATTTCTTTTTTTATAAAATAAAAAAGGAATCCAAACTTTCTTATTTTGTTTGCAATAAAAACCATCAACCTTTAGGAACAGCTACATAGAGTATACTTCCAATAACTAGGAAATACAAACAATGGGACATTTTAGTGAGTTACATAACAAAATGCTTCATTTAGTTTTGGGGTAGTAACTTGGGCATTATTGAGGAAGCATAAGATAAAACTCCTCTTAAATCCCAACACATATCTATCATTCTTTGTCACAGCAGAAAATTAGATTATGGTGTCAGCATTTCAGAAATTCACCTGATCAATCTGTCCTCATATTGTTACTTGATTATATTTAGGAAATAATAGAAATGAAAAAGAGAAAATAAATGACATATGGATACTATGATCAGCACAGATGTTCAAATTCCAAAGCACTTTGCTTACTCTTATTCCTTTGTTGTAAAGCAGAAGCAGACTATTTTAATCCCTTGTAGTTCCTGCTATCAAATGTGAGATCCATGCTAGCAGATCCCTGTGAGCAGCTTGCTGCTCTGTGTACAGGGAAGACACTCAATAAATACCTATACAATGGAGAAAAATACAAGTACAAGAAAAGCCAGAGATTTGGGAACTTGAGATGGGAGATGGGAACGGGATAGAAAAAAGAATAAATGAAAGTAAATAATGCACATAAAAAGTCATTTTGGGGACCTCCCTAGTGACACAAGCACTGCCTTATGAAGTGATCTGCAGCACCAGTTCGATCCCCTAGCCGGCCAGGGAGCTACCCACATGGTGCAGCAGACCTCTCCTGTCTCGCCCGCTGCTCCCCTCAGCAGTGTATTTCAGTCAGTCTGCCTGTTCTGTTCCCTGCTCTGTCTCTGGTGAATCCTCTCACTCCCACCCCCACCCCCGCATTTCTGGCCTGTACCCCAGCTCTTGTATGCATAAATAAATCTTTAAAAAAAAAAAAAAGGAAAAAGTCATTTTGTTATACCAAAAGAAATTTATGTCCAGAACAGTAGTGATATTTTTTACTTAATACTTTACAAAAGGATGAATACTTGAATATTCTTATGCAAAGCCTTCCATAGCATTAAATTCCAAAATAATTATTAATCTAAGCAGCATTAAAGAGTAATTTTTAAAGGCTCATTAACTTGCTATTATTTTGTTTTAAAAAACCTGAAAAATGTTTAAATAATGAACTCATTTGGGTAAAGACATACAAAAATTCTGTAAGAACATAAACTATCACCAGTGGTTTTCTTTGGGAATGGTGAGAGAACGTAATGCAGATAGTACTTGCTTTTTACAATGAATATGTATATTTTATAAAACTCACTAAGAGAAAATGTCTAATTTGTAAGTTTTTAAAACTGAGGCAAAAATTTAAATTGTATTCTCTAAATATTTAGAGATTGGTAATATTTATGTAAATATTTAGATGATTGGTAATACTGCTTAAAATTTGGACTTCCTACTTATTCTTCTTTATTAAAATATGAGATAAAGTAGGTTGTAAGAAAATAAGACATATATAAGTGCTGCAAAGCAGGGAAAAATACTTAAGAAAAATATCCCAAACTGCAAATTGCAAACATCTATCATCTAGTTTCCATTATATATCATTAGTGATCTTAATTATCACTGAACATATCTTCAAATTTATGATTTTGCATTTTTTTTTTCAAAAAGGGGGACTTGTTATAAATTTAGTAGACCCAGGGACAAGAAAGGAGAGGTCTGCTGCGCTCTGTGTTAGCTCCCTGGATGAGGATCGAACTCAGGCTATAAAGGTGACAGCACTGAGACTTAACCCCTAGGCCACCAAGGAGGCCAGCTATTATGTGTTCTTTTTATGACATATATCCAATTATTCCTATATATCATTCCTTTATGTAAAATAAAAGTTTTAAATGGAAAACAAGTATTAGTTCATAATTGGGGAAATGTTTACTTTCATAATGGAAAAAAATCGGGTCAATGGGTATTTTATTTCAGATTTCATTCAACTGTCTTGTAAAATTATGTGTTTTCTTTTAACTCAGTATTCATTTTCTTTGGGAGGATAGAGGTCAGATCCCGTTGAATGAGTTAATAAAAGCTACAGATTTTTTTCTTGCCAAAAATGAGCAACAATGAAACAGGGTTTGCAAAGTTCCCTCTAGAAGTTTTTACTTTTGTCAAAGTACATTAAAAATGTTTCAAAGTACCAGCATAAGTGTATTTACAAACTATAACTTAAAATTAGCAATAATATAAGTCATAAACCTACAGAGTTTAAAAATATGCCATTTTGTTGAAAGCCAAAATCATGAATTTAATGTGTATTTTTAAACCTTTAAGGGATATCTTGTATTTGGTGTAAGTCTGTCCTATTGAATAGGTTAGTAAGATAAGTCCATTTCGTTTGAGTACATGGTCTGTGCTGATAATCAAAATAGCTACCATGGTAAAGTTTCCATGTGCTGGGCATTGTTAGGACTTCAAATATGTTGTCTTTTAAACAATGCACTATGGTGCCTCTTAGTTATTTTTTAAGTTGAATGGTGAGTACATGAGGTTTTTAAAAAACCTTTTTGAGAGTGTAAAATATTTTTGTTAAATATAATTTAATTAAATTATAAAATATATAAATTTTTTATTAAAATATAATTAAAGAAGATAATCTTTGTCTTATAGGAATTTATACCTTAGGAATTAAGACAATTAAATGAACATTAACAAGGGGTTAAGCACCGCACTATGAAGTAATCCACAGCACGAGTTCGATCCCTGGGCCGGCCAGGGAGAAACCCACATGGTGAAGCAGACCTCTCCTGTCTTGCCCGCTGCTCCCCTCAGCAGTGTATTTCAGTCAGTCTGCCTGTTCTGCTCCCCACTCTGTCTCTGGTGAATCCTCTCACCCCCCACATCTCTGGCCTGTACCCCAGTTCTTGTATGCATAAATAAATAAATCTTTAAAAAAATTAGTTGATGAAAAATAAGCATCTATTTTTTTAAAGGATTTCAGAGGAGCATTTTGTTTTTTTCTGATTGGCGCTTAACAAGTAAAGAAAACGTATTAGAGGACTTTAGCATCAAGTGGGTGTCAGAAGCCAACTGAAGGTAATACGAAAGCAAGTAATAGAAATGAGAAAAGCGAAACGAAAAAATGTCTATTGGGAAGTTGTAGTATTTCCCTGTAGATAACTTCAGGAGTAGCAGATGGGGTTATTGCCTTCGTTGGCTATCATAAGGATGAAAGAGCCAGAGACAACTGAAACCACCATTTCTAGCCATAATCAACCATTCATGTTAGGTAGTTCTAATTTTAAAATGTTATAAATTCTCTTTATATGACAGTTGTTAATTAATAGTTGTTAGGTATTTGGAAGACTGCACAGGAAGTAGTCACCTTTGTATATATTATTAATGTCTTCATAATAGAAATTAAATCTTTGGGATGCCCAGATACTAAGCTACATGAAGCACAGCTATTATCTGAATCATGTACTTTGAAATACTTGGAATTTGAAAAACAGGATATGTAGTTTATATTCTAACTAATTTTGGAGCAATATATGGCCAGGTACTTATTTTTCTTTTTGTAAGCTCTAAGTGCATTGAAAGTTGAAAGCAAAGGACAAAAGCTTCCTTTATTCTTTGCACATATTTGAGTATATTTTTCTGAAATTGCCAATATCTTCTGACTTCATTTTCTTAGTGGTTGTCAAACATTATTTTGGGCATTATTTCTATGTAGAAGGTTTTAAGAAGACCATGGTATAATTTTCTTATATTAAGAAAAAGGATATGATTATAAAGCTAAAATATACCTTCAGTTTTATTTGTATATGGTTTGCTACAAATTGAGGGAGATTGGATGGATTTGAAACATGATTAAATGACAGTAAATAAAAGCCCCTGGCCAACTGAATCCTAATGGTAGGAAATAAATGTACTATATAATAATTGAGCCTCAATTTTAAAAACAAATCTCTCCATGAACTGGCACTACTTTGGAGTCAAGAGAAATTGTAAGAGCAATATAATGAGCACACATGGTTTTTCCTATAAACATACGAACCAGAAAAACTCATCTGCTTCAAAGAACCATTGATGTAACACCAAAATTGTAATACATTTATCAGAAGTTTGACATACAATTTCTCTTTAAAAACTGGGTGGGAAATAGTGGTGGTGGGAGAGGAAGGGGTAATTGACACAATGAAAGACAAATTAAAAACTGAAAGCAATTATAGGAAAAAGTCTTCAGTTATCCTACTTTATTCCAGTTCTTTTGTACAGTCTTTCCTCTTTCCCTCCCTTCCTCACCTCTACAGTAACAACTTTATTAAAGATAGAAACATACATTGTCATTCCACCTATTTTATAGAACGTAAATTTCTAACAATTTTTAAAGTGACATCTCACTCAGAACCTTCTTCCCTTATTTCCTATGCTAGTTTGCTGTGCTCACAGTAACAAAGTATCACAGACTGGGTACTTAACAACAGAAAGACTCAAAATAGCCATTGCTGGATCTTAAGGTGTAAGGGGACCAAGGAATACAGATGTTCTTAGACAACTGGAGAGGGTAAATGCAACCTCCAACAAAAAAAGTCCTTCTGACACCTTGATTTTAGCCCACTGAGATCCTGCCAGGTTTCTTACCTCTAGAACTGTAAAATAATAAATCTGTGGTGTTTTAACCACTGTTTTCAGATTAGTCGTCTCTGTTGAGAAAAACTGGAAAGCCAGGATTCTTAATTGCTCTAAAGTCTTCCTTAAGGTAGTTCTGACAATGATATTCTAATGATAATCTAGCCCCAATAGGGGCACATAAGTATTTCATTCCATCTGCACTATACCAAAGACAGGCTAACCACAGACAGAACTTGATCAAAAAGTCTAGAAATAGGGTTGTCTTCCCTTCCTTTTGGAACTGTTATTATTTTTGTTGTTGTTTTTTAAAGATTTATTTATTCATGCATACAAGAACTGGGGTATAGGCCAGATGTGCGGGAGGGTGAGAGGACCCACCAGAGACAGAGCAGGGAACAGAACAGGCAGACTGATGAAACACACTGCTGAGGGGAGCAGCGGACAAGGCAGGAGAGGTCTGCTGCACCAGGTGGGCATCTCTCCCCAAACCCACCCCCACCCCCCCCCAGTCAGGATTGAACCGCACTGCAGAGGCTGCAGGACAGCTTCACAGGGCTGCGCTCAACTGCTTGCGCCACCAGAGAGGCCCTATTATTTTTAAAATTATAGTCAACTACATCTATATCCCAACTAAAGTCTGCTAATCAGGTAATCAATGTTTGGGAAGTAAATTATGAAATAATTTTGTACATAGTATTAGATTCAATTCAGTTATTTTAGATGACCAAACTGAATGAAATTCAGTGCTGATCACTCTGTGACTCAGGAGTCACATTGCTATCACGCATCTGGTATTCCCAGAAATGACCTATAGCCCAAGGCCTATATGTGCCCAAATATCCTCTTACCACTTAATGCCCTCCTCATTATTACATTTCTAGGTCTAACTTTAGGATCATAATGTTTCTGACCCTACATAACCTTACAACCTCTGAAGCATGGTAGATAAGAAGATGGCAATAGTGGACAGAGATCAGCCTTTCTCCCTTCCTTTTTCCATCACGAACAAAGAGTCTCATTGTTACTGGAGCATCACAAAATGAAAACAGTGTAGTGCTCATTTGTGTCAGATACTGTTGTAAATATCACTACGTAAAATTATGCATTTTAATGCTCACCATAATTTTTTAATGTAGAAAATTATCATACATGAAATACTGAGGTACAGCAGCTTACTTAACTTACCTAAGGTCATACAGGGACAGACTGGAATAGGAGTGGATGCCATTCTTTACTCTTGGTTAAACTGTGATGCTTTTCTCAAATTCTATTAAAAAATTCAAAGGTATAGAAAGTTTGAATAGTACAGTGAACACCAATATAACTATGGTTACTAGACTCAACTATTAACATTTGCCACATTTACTTTTATCCCCATGGCATTTGAAGTTGTAGACCTCATGCCTAATAAAGAAAAAATAGATCTAACTTCTGAATTCTTTATTTTATTTCAGATATTCAGAAATACAGGATATCATGTTTCAAGAAGCCAACAAAGAAAGGCACAGGACAATTGAAATTTTGAGGAAGAGTAAATTAAAGTTAGTTCAAATAGTTAATAGCTGGCTATGTGCTCTACTTGACACTTCAGCTATATTAAGTGTATTTTCAAGCAAAGTCAGTAATCTAGGTAATCTTACCATCATTTTATTTTTTTTAAAGATTTATTTATTTATGCATCCAAGAGCTGGGGTACAGGCCAGAGATGGTGGGGTAGGGGTGAGAGGATTCACCAGAGACAGAGCGGGGAACAGAACAGGCAGACTGAAGAAATACACTGCTGAGGGGAGCACTGCGGGCAAATCAGGAGAGGTCTGCCTCACCATGTGGGTTTCTCCCTGGTCGGTAGGGATCGAATTCGCGCTACAGAGGCTGCAGATTGCTTCATAGTGCGGTGCTTAACCCCTTACCCCACCAGAGAGGCCCTATTCGAGAGATAACTTGCCCCCATCCTACTCGTGTTTAGCAGACCGCCATGTAAACCTAGGCAGTCTGGTTGTAGAGTTTGAACTCTTCGGCTTTGAGTCCCCTTAAAAACTTCGTGTGTATGTGGGGGAGGAGGGCTTTAAGGATGTTTGCTAACCTTCTTCTAAGTAAATCACTCTTAATAGGAAACATTTACTTGGGCTCCCAACTTAAGAGTAGTTTTAGTTTAGTTTTTTTAACTTAAATATACATATTTAAGTTAAATATATATATATATATATATATATATATATATATATATATATATATATATACCCCAAATGTGGACGGGAACAGAAGGCGCAGGGGTGATAGGGTCGGTGAGCAGCGGGGAGAGAAGGGCGCGAGGCGGTCGCAGGATGTTGCCAGCGGCTGGTGACCCCGGGCATTCTGGGAATTGTAGTCTTCCAACCATCCAGGCCATTCCCGTTTAGGACCTCAGGGGAACCTGACTGCGCTCCCAGAAGCCTCCGGTGCGACTCGCTGGGAACGCACTTCCTGGGACGCTGAGGAGGAGACGGCCGGGCAGCTCCTCAGTGTGACCGCGTAAAATGCCTTGGGTGTGAGAAGCAGGTAGGTGCGGACCAGGTTTCTGGGTCTTCTGCATAAGTAACTGAGGATTTTGTGTACAATTGCTAACCCCTGGGAAATCGGGAACGCTGACAAATGCTGACCACATTTGTGGACGTGAAAATTGAGTGAGGCGATATTTGATAAAGCTTTTAAAGATTATTTTCTACACAGGGTAGGGGAATGTCAGGAGGGCTTGCTGCAGCGGCCGGGGGCCGGGGGCTCGGTGCCGGCTCTGCTTTGTGGAGCTGCTAGTTGCTATTTTTGAATCAGTAGCTGATGATGCTGGTTGTGTAATGATGACCTGCTTGCGGTTCAAACCACTCAGTGTTGCAGGGATGAGCTTGTTCTGAGAGCGGTTGCCGCCTTTGTTGCCGTCTCTTTCCGTGGGCTCTGACCAGGAAAGTTTTCCCCCCTTCTCTTTCTGCTGGCTCGGGTGCTCCTACGGACCCTGCTCGGAGGAGGAGGCGACGGAGGGGTGCGGCTTGCTCTCGAAGCTTGTTTCTTTTCCTCTGAAGCCCTTGTTTTGTAGTACAGCCCTGGGATGGGCCCCTCAAGTTAAAGAAAGGCCAGACTCAGTGACCCTAGTTAAAATGATTGCTCTGAGATCCCATTGTCTGTTTTTAATTGTAAAACGATTTTCCTTGACTTTGGAGTGAGTAATTAATTATGCTTGATACCAACTCAAGAAACACTTTTGGGGCAGGGGCTCGATTTAAATCTCTTCTGGGGGACTGTTGTGGACCTTCTACGTAATGATCATAATAGGGCTAGTGATAAACGCCTTAATCCAGGAAGCTCTCAGATGTTTACAAGTTTTCATTCTCATCCTGTTCATTTGAGATAAATAGTATTTGAAGAGGAAATTACTGATGCTTAGAAAAAGATACATGAAAACATTTAAATGGCAGGTTGAGCCATTGGTGGAGCTATAAATTTAAAAAAAAAAATTCTAGATGCAAATTTTAGTATGCACAGTGGCTATATCAACTTGGCCTAGTTATGTTAGTATCCTTTTAAGAGGTATAAAAGAAGTATAATGAATTGTTTGTACTTCCAAGACAACTAATTGCATATTGTTTCCTTGGCCCTTTTTATTCTTTCACTATAGTCGAGAAATTAATTAAGTATTGATCATTTATTCCAAAACAATAAATTGATTTTATCCTTATCCCTTCATCTTTCAAACCACAAAATGAATGATTTTCTCTTTTTATTTTACGTATTGGCAATATGTGAATTTAAGAATAAACTGCTTTTTCATTTTAATTTACTGGACATCTTTTTTGTATATTTCATTGGTGTTAGATAATTGGTGATTATCTTGTCAAAGTCCATATACGTTAAAGTGGAGTTTTTAGAAAAGTGCTATAGTAACTTGGGGGTATTTTTCCTATTTCTTTAGACCCAGAACATCTCTACTCTGTTCAAATATGCATATATTCTTCTAAATTGTTAAGAGTTGTCTTAGAACTACCGAGAACCTCAAAGAGTAAGTATGTATTTTGATTCTTTCTTATTTCCCTTTCCAGCCATGTGTCAGACAACACATTTTTCACTTTTTCAACAAAGTTGTTTTAGGACGCTTTCCTTGTGAGTGCAATGATTGATGACCTATAGATTCTAAGAAAACCCAAGTTACGGCTAGAGGGTATCTTTTTGAAAATACTTCTACTCATTATTATATCTTTGGTAACATGTAGTTTTATACCAAATTTTATCCATCTGCTTCTCTGAAAGTCATTGTAGAAACAGATAGTCAAATGAGAAATGTGAAGTGCTTGTTTTGAAAAGTCCTTTTTTTAAAAAAAAAAAAGATTTATTTATTTATTTATACAAGCACTGGGTACAGTCAGAAGTGCGGGAGGGTGAGAGAATTCACAGAACCAGAGCGGGGAACAGAAAAGGGAGACCAAAGAAATACACTGCTGAGGGGAGCATTGGGTGTGGCAGGAGAGGTCTCTGCACCATTGGGACCCTCGCCTGTGGCCGGGGATCAAACCGGCGCTGTAGAGGCTGCCGGCAGCTTCGCACCCCAGCGCTCAACTGCTGCGCCACCAGGAGAAGCCCTGAAAAGAGTCCTTATTTGAACTTGGTCAGTTACTGCTCCAAGGAGATTGCTCTGTCATTATTATATGACCGTGATCATCTGTAATTGCTTGCTTAGATATCTAGAAGGAAAGCATGATCCTAGCTAAAGAAAGTAAATAGCCTAATAATAATTATTACAAACTTAAATTTCTGACCATATCTATTTAACAAAGGGCTTCGCTATTCATCATCTCACAACTACTTTGGGAGACTTTTTTTTTTTAATTTTTTTTTAATCGTAATGTCTTTTTTTTCATTTATGCAAGAACTGGGGTACAGGTCAGGGGCGTGGGAGGGTGAGAGAATTCACCAGAGACAGAGTGGGGAGCAGAACAGGCAGACAGACCAAAGACACTGCTGAGAGGAGCACGGGCGAGGCAGGAGAGGTCTGCTGCGCCATGTGGGTTTCTCCCTGGCCAGCCGGGACTCGAACCCTCACTGCAGAGGCTGCAGACAGCTTCCCAGCGCCGTGTGGGAGACATTTTTTACGGATGAGAAATTTGATGTTGAGAAGACATAGGTGACTTGTCTAGTTTGTAAATAGTAGGTGATGGCTGGCAACAGAGATTCTGGTGTCCTGGGCTACAAAACCAAGCTACCTCTGAAAGGGAAACAAGCCCATACATCTATATGTAAGCCCCAGCTCAAAGCTGTCACGCAGCTAGTGTTCATGAGTATGTCTCAGATTTGTAAAGATGTTTTTCAGCCTTGCACATTTACAAGGCTGAAAAGGTTTCCATATGGGAAAAGATTATTACTTTTCCCCATTGCTATTTTTAAAATGAAAATAAAAATATAAATAAATTATTTGGCTTTGTAAGCAAAAATTAATTTGATATGTTAACCACTCTCGGTGAAAAGGGTATATCCAATATGTAATGTACCTAATAAATTGAACACATAAGAATGAACCATCATAATAGATCGATTCTGAAAGTTAGCCAGTGATGCCAAACCTAGATATGTATTCGCAGAAGCATAGTCTGTGTGTAAATACATACTAAGAATGGCCCTATCTTTTTTTGAGAAACTTCTGGAGGAGGAAAATGAACACTGTTTATAGAAATGGAAGAGACTTTGGCCAATAAAGAATAGCAAATAGCTATTCTTTAGGAATTCTAAAGAATAGCATTCCTCTAGAAGCTATTTGGAGGCTTGAGAACATGGGATATGAATGAGTGAACAAAATCAAACATAACTTTCTGTATCCATACTATGTTCATGTGGACCTTCTTTTGGTTTGTTCATTCATTTACAAATAGTTGTGGCCTTCTGTGTGCCAGTGTTGGACACAATGGGAGAGAAAAAAAACCAACAGAAGGCTCTCTGTCCTCATGGAATTCAGAGTCTGGTAGGAAAGATAAACACTGAACAAGGAATTATAAGCATAATTGTTGCTACCAAAGAGAAAGTACAAAGACGTTACCAGAGCATAAACCAGGGCAGAGGAGAGATTAAGGGCCAGGGAGGAGAGGGGAAGTTTAGAACCAGCTCCTTCCCTTTCCCCCTACCCCCCTTCCTGAATGTTAGTTAAACAAAGAATGAAATGGGATTAAAAATATTCTAGGAGGAAGAATGACAGGAGGAAAGGCCCATAGCTAGAATAAATGTAGAAAATTTGAGAAGAAAAGCAGCATGTCTACATAGACTGTAGTATGTGGGTAGGAGAGTGACATAAGAAGTTTGAAAATTTGCCAGAAACCAGATGGCTGGGTTTAGAAACAGTGGAACGGATTTTAAACTTTATTCAGAGGGAAATAGGAAGCCATTGAATATAAGTTGAAGTGATAGTAAAGGTGTTACAGGGCAGGGAGAGGGGCAGGCCAAACCCCACAAACCTGCCTATTCTAAATGGGTTATGCCATCTGCCGCATCAACACAAAACATATGAGACTTTAATGGGAAGGAACTTTAATACAACTAGGAAACAAGACAGGAAAGGCAAAGAATCTAGTTTCTAAATGAAGCACCCAAAGTTACCCGTCCCCTCGTGGGTAAAACTCCATCCAGATGGGATTGGCCCAGAGCAAGGCCCCAAAGCCTGCCACAAGTCTAAAGCATCTTCTAGTGGGGACCCTCAGAAAAGGGTCAGAAACAACCAGACAAAGCCTGGAAGGAAAAGAGCAAAATCAAAATCAAGATAAAAACTGCCATTGTCACCACCCCACAGATCTCACCCACATCTGTGTCACCCAGTCTACGACCAAAAGACAAGCGCAATTTCTTCACGTGTCTAGGCTCCAGGCGCCTCCTCCAGGTCTCCCTCTTGCTCTCCATCCTGCTTTCTTCCTTCCTCAGTCTCCTCTGCAGCTTTGTTCTCTCCCTGCTCAGCTCCACCCTCCATTTGGGTGGGGCAGGAAACCTGGAACCTCCCCCTTTCCTGGGGACCACCCTGTTACAAAAGGATCAGGTTTGCATTTGAAAAAAATTATCCTGGATTCAAAATTAATTGGCATAGAGCATAAGTAGAGGTCTTTTACCCTCTCAGAATGAACAAATCCTAACCTGAGAGTCAGCATTATCTGACTCTCATTAAATATAATCTGTCTCCCAGTTGTCCCTATAAACTGTTACTTCATTCCTCTAGTGAGATATATGACTTATCATTAAATTATATGTGTGTAGAGTTAAGAACAGGAAAAGTAAAAGCAAAAGAAAGTTGTAAAGAGCTAGCACATTACTTCCAGCATCAAGGTTGAAATTTAGGTAAAGTGTTGAGGTTAATTAGTATTTCCTTTCCCCAAAATGCCAATATATCCTTGTGGATTATATAAATAGGACTGTTAGTCAACCTTTGGGCTTTTCTGCTTAAGCATAATAAGCAAGTTCAGGGAACAGATAGAACACTTGCTTTGATTTAATAAAGGATACATTTGAACACACTTGATACTGAAATAAATATTAACCTACCTCTGTTCATTAGTACCCTTTGATAGACTGTCATCTAAGAACTACTAGAATTTATAATAGTAAAGTTATCATCCTGATCTTGTTTCTCATTCCATTTACAATGTAGGAATCAGAGCTACAAGGCAGCTTGACTGCAGAAATACCAGTTACAATGGTAACTCCAAGTATTTGACTCCTACCTCTGAAAACAAAAAGAAATTGTGCTTGGGTTAGGACTCTAAGTAGGTTAGCTGAATGAGTTCTGAAGCTTTGAAAGTAACAAGAACCTTTTTCTTTTGTCTTCCAACTTGGATCAAATCATCATTCTCTTTCATTGTTTAGTCTTTTTCTAATCCTGTATTGATACACTTCTATCAGGTATCTTATTGGTTTGCTTTGCTTACTTAATATATAATAATCACTTGATATTTGGTAGTTATGTAGCTGATACATTGCCAGCATTTTGAGTTTGCATAGAAGAGCATATTTTTTTCCTCAGTCTGTTAACACATTGGGGCAAGATCCAGTCCCTCTAAGTGTCCCTCCAGGCTAAACGGTTTTGCATGTACTAGATACTCAGTAAGTACTTGTTGAATGACTGATTGCTTAGAAATATCTGCTTCCTTCTCCAATAGTCCACCTTTATAAATTGTCTACCTTTGTGGGTTACTGTGGTCTTGAATAGGGTCCAGTACTCATTTATTCAAATATTCCTAGGATGATGTGTATGCCAGGCACTAGCAAGTTGTTTACAGTGTATTGGGAAGACGGGAAGGAGCAAAATCCAACATGAAGTTGAATTCTAAGCTTATCGTCATTAGTACCTTTCTCAATGTAAACATTCTCAAACCTGCACTATAGTTTCTATTGCTGGACCAAGATGGTTGTTCACTAAAATTAAGAATGTTGATCATTTACTCCTGCCCCCAGTTTGCATAAAAAAATAAATTAGGACTATAATTTCATTATTTTAAGAGTTTTTATCTGTCATTTTTTTAAACAATTGCTATTTCTGAAAAAATTGACAGAAGAAAACATGATAAATAAGTAGTAAAAAATAATTAATAAGGAAACTTTAGAACTACTGTGCCTAAGTTGAGAACTTTTAAAAATGACATTTGTGGGCCTTCCCTGGTAGCGCAGGCGGTTGAGCGCCGCGCTGTGAAGCTTCCGTAGCCTCTGCAGCACTGGTTCAATCCCGGCCTGCGGGTGAGGGTCCCACGTGGTGCTGCAGACCTCTCCTGTCGCGCCCACTGCTCCCCTCAGCATTGTATTTCATCAGGCTGCCTGTTCTGTTCCCCACTCTGTCTCTGGTGAATCCTCTCATCCTCCCGTGCATCTGGCCTGTACCCTGGTTCTTGTATAAGTAAATAAATAAATCTTTAAAAAAAATGACATTTTTGCTTAAACTCTGATTTTATATTCTACACGTGTATATGTATATATCTATCTCTGTATAAAATATGTAGTATGTACGCATGCCTGTATATTTTCTGCTAGCAAAATTGTTCCTTTCTTTATGATTGGATTAAATATTGTTTTCTAGAGAGCATTGTGTCTTCTCATTCACATTTGAATTTGTTTGAATCATGTCTAAACTCAGCTTCCTAGTATTTTGGTCTTTTTTCAGAGCTCCCAGGAATTCTGTTCTACCATTTTAGCAGATAATATTTGACTCTGCAAAGGATGATGGATTCTTTCAACAGATGAAATAAGAATTTTCCCAACCATGCCCCTTTGTCATGATCTGACTAAAAGAAGTAAATGTGTTAACTCATTGAAGTAGTGTGTCTGTTGCCTCATAAGGTGCCTTGGTAGAGAAAATACATTTGAGTGGTGTTTGGAAAGTGCATTTCAAACCCTTGAAGAAATTAAAACTAAATTAGGCACTAATTTTCACAGTTTGTCATGTACAGAAAAAGAATACAGTCTTTCCATTTGGAATGGGAGAACAACCTGGCTACTTTTTTCCTTTCCCGTGTAACATAAGCATTAATAAAAAGAGGTTGTCATTACTTAAAAATCTCTGCATTCATCTTATATGAGTGTTAGTAAGATAATAACCTGAGAAGCAGTCCTTTCATCTTGAATCAGCCATGAAGTAGTGAGCAGAAAATTTCAGGAACACTTGCTGTCTTCTTGTTCTTCGGAGAGGAGTCCATTTATGTTTAGTAACTTTCCAGAGCTCCTGGTATATAGGGATGAGATCAGGTTAATTTTAACTTTTCTTCAAGATTAATTCAATGTTTTCTAAACAGCAGTTTGCCAAGTATGCCACGCCCTGAGCTGGTCACATTTGTATTACACTCGCACTGTGCTAGGCATTTAAGTACCTGACATTATATTATTTCATTGAATACTTAGAACAACTAATGAGATAGGCAGTTATTCTCATTTTGCAGATGAGAAAAATAAGACCCAGAAGTTCTGTAGCTGACCCAAAGTCACTTGACTCATAAGTGTGGAAGTGGGCATTAGAACCCTGCCCTCAGCCACTCACAGTCCTGTAGGGCCTTTTGTCCTGCACCTTTGTCTTTTACGAGCCATCTTCCCCTCTGTTGTGTGCTCTCATTTTACATTTACCTGAGCCTTTATATTTATGTTGTATGTACTTGATGGTCGCTTTGTGCATTGACTCTTACCATCTGGGTGGCCACTACATGAAAGTACTTGGTATATGTGTGTTGAATGAGTGATTATTGACAACTGAGAGCATTTTCAGATGTGATGTTAAGAGAATTTGAAATTAATTTGGTTGTTCTTCTGATTCACACTGAGGAAGAATATGCTTGGCTAAATATGCTTATTTGCTCTGTGACCCCGTCAGTTGTACTGAGGGTATGCGTGTGCACCTGTGACCCGGGGTCACATGTGGAAGTGTTTATGTACATTCTTCTTGCACATAGAGATGAAACTAGAAGCAGGATTTCCTTCCTTGTATTGATATTTCATTATTAGTAGTATTGTCAAGCGGCACCACGCTTTCTACTCTCCTATTGTCCCCTCATGATTTGTCCTTTTGTGTATCACCTCTAGTCTGACTGACAGTACTGCACCAGCCTGCCTGCCATGGGCTGTCGGGATGTCCATGCAGCCACTGTCCTCTCCTTCCTGTGTGGAATTGCCTCAGTGGCAGGCCTATTTGCAGGCACTCTACTTCCCAACTGGAGAAAATTACGACTGATCACATTCAACCGAAATGAGAAGAACCTGACTGTTTACACGGGCCTGTGGGTGAAGTGTGCACGATACGATGGAAGCAGTGACTGCCTGATGTACGACACAACTTGGTACTCATCAGTTGACCAGCTAGACCTGCGGGTCCTCCAGTTTGCTCTGCCTCTCAGCATCCTGATCGCAATGGGTGCCTTGCTGCTCTGCCTGATTGGAATGTGTAACACGGCCTTCAGGTCCTCTGTGCCCAACATCAAACTGGCCAAGTGTCTGATCAATAGTGCAGGCTGCCACCTGGTGGCTGGGCTGCTGTTTTTCCTGGCAGGTACTGTGAGCCTCTCCCCATCCGTTTGGGTCTTCTTTTATAACACCCATTTGAACAAGAAGTTCGAGCCAGTCTTTACATTTGACTATGCAGTGTATGTCACTATCGCTAGTGCCGGGGGCCTCTTTATGACTTCCCTTCTGCTGTTTATCTGGTATTGTGCATGCAAATCTTTGCCTTCTCCCTTCTGGCAGCCATTGTACTCCCATCCTCCCAGTATGCATACTTACTCACAGCCCTATTCAGCACGCTCCCGCCTCTCTGCCATTGAAATTGACATTCCAGTAGTTTCACACACCACCTAAAGGGGATATAGTTAAAGAAAACTTCTTGTAGCCTCACATATTCCTTGTGCAAGGAGCTATTTTGGACCTGTATACATTTTCTTTTCATTTCTGACCAGTCAATGAAGCCAAATTTGTATGTCCTGGTAGAATGAAGTGCTGCTAGTTTTTATGAGAAGTACATTATTTTCAATGTGAATCATTCCTTTTATCTTGCTTCTTACACTAGAAGGATTTTTAACCTTCATATTGATTTATGATAAGTTTAAGTGGAAAGGTCGTTCGTCTCCACTGAGGTTGTTTAGAGCAACAGGGTTAAGTCAGAAATGATGGCTAAGAGAAGGTATTGTCCACAATCTTTGTGACTATTTCAGAATATGTAGTGTACTTTTTTCTATAATACCTTAAAACTGGAAAAAATGTAATTTCAGCTATAAGAAATTTCTGTCTGGTAAGGGTAATATTTTAACATTAATCAGTCTGCCAGTTTAAAGCTATAACTTCTCTCTTGATCTAATTGTACTAAATAGGGTTTGATATTTTGAAGATTATTTTCTTCTGTGAGTTCCTTATCTTCTACCTCATGACAGTGTTTTAAAAATAAAACGCATTTTAAATGATGTTAGAGAATAAGCCTAACATTTTAAATATCTACTACTACAACTAATACTTAACACAATTTTAAAAGCTAATGATTCTATAAATTGTATTATTGGAGTTAAAATATGCCAATATAAATTGGTGCTTCCTCTGAGGCAGAAAAGTCTTTTTTTCCAGATGTAATCTGCCAAGTGGTACTCATGTCCATATCAAATCTCTTAGTGACTAAGAGAAATAAATAAAGAGGCCGAAGAAATTCATTTTCTTTTAGATAGTGGTTGGGGGCAGACATCTGTTCTTGAGTAACAACTTCAGAGGAACACTCTGATGACTGCCTTTGGAGTGATGGGTGAAATAAGGCAAGACTTTGCCATGACCACATTCACCATTGATTCACTTCCTGCCCCCATCACAGATTATTTCCTGAGCATTTATCTTTGCCCAACACTTTAGTAGGTGCTATAGAAGATATATGAAGAAGTATGAGATCTGGTCCCATCCAGTGAGCAATTTTAATCTAATAGAGATCATCAAATTCTGTTATCTGACATGGAACTGTCTGACTTCATTGGCATCTGGTCTTAATTTCTCAATCATTGATGCAGTAACGTATTTCAATTATAGAGACATGACTTTTTGGCAGCTGACTTATTACACAATACCAACGTTATGCTGTGACTTAGAAGTTTAATTCATTGGATCCTACTTTGTTATTTGAACACCTACTTTAACTGTTTTAATAATTCTATGTCATATTCATGAGAATGGGCAAAAGTGATAAGGAAATTAAATTGTTCATTTTTATCTGTGAAACTGATGTATTAAAGAGGGAAGAGTATTTAAAATCTCTTTTCTAATGGGGTAACATTTAGTTGAAATCATGTTAACACTGAGATGAAGCTTAGAAATTCAGGGATATTGGATATTTTATTAATTTGAGCTGCTTAATTGATGTAATTTGTTCCATATATTCGTAAGGATTTTGTTCTGTTAACCATTACAGATTTCACAAATAGCTAGTTGCATGGTAAACAGATTATGCTTCTTTTGCAAATCTGAATATGATTCTAATACTTTCGTAGATGTGATACTTTCTCCCCCCTAATTCCAACACTAGTTTGTGTATATAACAAATAAATCCATCTGTGTAACTTTGACATGCCATCAGTAGAAAGCATGCAAGGCTATGGTGATTTCTTACTTCTAGCTTCTGATTTCTATTAGTTCTGTCCCTTTAACTCTTCTTAGAAAAACTTGAGTTTTGATCATCCCAAGATGATGGCAGGTAGGATTTTGAGATTAATATTAATTTGCCCTCTTCACTAATTTTAGTTCCCTCTCTCACTTGATTTGTCCAGAAGTATCAAGAATTCCACCTTTCTCCTGTTCCTTGTATAATCAATATTAAAGAAAAGTGGATTCAGCCATTAAACACTAGACATGAGATCATAAATATTAATGTTAAGCTCTCCCTGTAGGAATCTTTTGGTTCCTAATCCATAGCCTCAAATTCATATTTATTAGGGATTTGCTTGGAAAAAGAAACAGAGTTTCCCTTATTGTCTTTAATATTTCAGATTTGCTGTCAGCAGCTTTCTTCAAGGCCATCAAAGGAAAGCAAGTATTTATAATTCTTTTTAATAACTTTTGAGCACTCAAGATCAAGCTATTCTTGTGATGGGGTAATAATCTTTTTTTGTTATTACAAGCCTATTAATATTAAGGGCCTTTTACAAAAGCCAGCTTGGAAAACAACCCTAAATGTAGTGTGATGTACCAGATTTGGTTTACCCAGCCATGAGAGGAAAAAAATCCTAAGTTTACTTTACTTGTAAATATACACTATAACAGATTATATGTTTGCTGTAAACCACAATGTAAAACCTCACTGTACTGTACTGTACAATGTAAAACTAAACTGCACTGTACTTCTTGATGTTTATTAAAAGATGTATTTTTACAAGTTTCTGTTTCTTCATTTTCCATGATGTTTTAAGGTGAAATATTTTGAGATATGTTTCTCAAATATATGTAAATTGAAGAAGACACAGTCTCATTTAAAGTCCTCAAAATAACAATTGGAAAAGAGTTGGAAAACACGAATTTACTATTCTAGTACCATTCTAAGAGTGATCCTAGGTATTCACTGAATCATTTTAATCACAAAAAAAAGCATTGAACGAAATCAGGTGTGTTGGATTTACCTCATCAACGGGGTTTCCAATGGTCTATGATCTTGGAGAGTGGGAGTTCTCAGTTGGTTAAGTAGCAGGACCTTTCTTGCTCTTGAGCTAATCAGGAAAAGTGGTCCTGTCAGGTAAGTTACCTCAAAGTTTTTGAAACCTGGGAGGAGCTTTTTAGTTCTTGGGTTATAGGAGTGCGTAGTTCTTATATGCACTTTTCACTGAACCCATGGCTTTTTGACAGTGCCATAGATGTCAGAACCTATGTTGCACTGAAAATCTGAAACTGCTTCAGGATAGGCATCCCCAGCTGATTACACTAACACATCACAATCCAGAGTCAACCCCTTAGTTGGGCAGGCTCGCTGAGAGTGACTAAATGCTAGGGAATGTCTTCATCCTAACCAAATTAACAAACTGATATACCAAGAAGTACAGATTACTTGGAACCACTATCTGAGATTAGTTTTCAAAAATACATCCTATACATAGCTCCTTGGAGAAAGAGATTCCAGCGCTGGGATAGAAAAGTACAAGTACTTTCTTTTTCTAGAAAATAAAATGCTCAAAGATGATAGGGCTTACTGTGTTAATATAAAAAACAGGAAAGAAAAGCTGTTTTTTTTCTTTTTTTGAAAAGCAATTTCTTATAGTAAAATGCCAAATAATGAAAAAGATGGATTTAGGAAAAAATTAATAGAACTAAACTAGCTGGTCAAAGTTTGATGAAAAACAATGTATTAATCTCAAAATACTGCTCCACAAATGAATTACTAATTTCAGGAAAAAAATAGTAACTTGTAATGGATAAACATTATTAATAAGAAAAAGTAACATCATGTACCTCCCGATAATAGGCATTGAGAAGGCCACACCATTGCTTTTGTGGTATTCTATTAAAACTACATAGACTGAGACTAATCTTGAGGAAATGAGCAGCTTGTCGGTTCCATGTTTTTTTTGTTTTTGTTTTTGCTTCCTTCTCTGTCCTGATCTTGCTACCTCTTCATTTTTCTAAAAAAGCTTTAAAAACTTAGTTTAAGTTGGCACCAAAATAATTTTTAAGATAATACTTCTAGGAGGTATTTTGAAGAGATTGTGTCAGGTCTACTGTCCTGAAAAAGGGAAGATCCCCTCAAAAGATGTCAGTCAAGATCGCCGAACCAGAAAGTTGGTGGGATCTTAATCAACTGTCCTGTTTCCATTGGTCAGCAATATTTTCAATCTTAAAGCATGCTGACAGGTTGACCTAAGGGCTGCCTCTCTTCTTCCTCCCCTCCCCACCTTGGAGGAAACTTTCAAGGAGAAAGTCATTTCTTCCTGTTCTGCTGGGTGTGTCCACACCTCATCCCAGAAAGGTCCTGTGTCAGTGCCATAGCCTGGAGAGCCCTTTAAGCCTTACTGCAGGATTGTGGAACTAGGTAAGAGTAGGCTCAACTGTGTCCTACCAAGCTGTCATCTGAATCTGCTATCAAAAGGGAGCTTGGAGTTGTTGGTTGCATTTTTGTTGGAAATACGCTAATTTTTCAAACCATTCTGCTCAGAGAACTTCTTCAATAAACTGTCCTTATTTTGTGTGACTAGAGCCTGTATAGCCAGAGTACAGTGATCATAATTTTGAGTGGTTCTCATTCACCAAAATCTTTTATAGAAGGAATATATGCTCATGTTTCCAGGGTTTTGCTTTGTTGAAATAGGTGTAACAGCTTCTCTGTAAGAGAAAAGGCATTATTGATATATATATATATATATATATTAAGATTTATTTATTTATTTATACAAGCACTGGGTACAGTCAGAAGCGCGGGAGGGTGAGAGAATTCACCAGAGCCAGAGCGGGGAGCAGAGCAGTCAGAAGGACCGAAGTACACTGCTGAGGGGAGCAGCGGGCGGCAGGAGAGGTCTGCGCGCCATGTGGGACCCTCCTCCGGTGGCCGGGGAGCAAGCCGGGGATCGAACCGGCGCCGCAGAGGCCGCGGGCAGCTTCGCAACCCAGCGCTCAACTGCTCTGCCACCGGGGAGGCCCTGAAATTGATTCTTAACTGAGCTCCAGCATTGCTCTGTCTTTCTCCCTGCTGTGAATATATCTTGTACATGGGCAACAGAATAAATACAATGAAAAACAAATGTGACCTGATCTCCTCCCTATTTAAATATTTCAATGACTTCCTCTCAGAAAAGAGACCAAGCTTTGCTTTGTGCCTGAATGGAAGATCTTGTTTAGTAATATACGTGAGTACATCAAAGGCTATAGTACTAGGAAAAACAAACAGCCTGCTTGGCTTCATAGAGCAACAAAAGAATTGTCTAGAAGATTTTTCTTACTGTGTCCATAGGTATTCAGTCTTAGTGTTATTGACACTAACAATATCTTATAAGTCTAATGTGTAATAGAATCCAAATTCAATAAAATAGGAAAGATCCCTTTTCAAGTGACTAGATTGGTTAGCATTCCTTATTTGAGGAATTTCTGTTTCATGTATGAAGGAAAGAATGGCTTGATGAATGTGGTAGTTAACTTCTAAGGTGACCTGCAGATATTCCTACCCTTGTGTGGTTCCGTCCCACGTTGGGCAGGGTGCCCAGTGTGACCAATAAGAATTCATTGCCAGGGCCTCCCTGGTGGTGCAAGGGGTTAAGTCTCAGCACTGTCAAGCTATAGCAGCCACTGCAGCATGAGTTCTATCTCCGTCCAGGGAGCTACCCACATGGCGCAGCAGACCTCTCCTGTTTTGCTGCTCCCCTCAGCAGTGTATTTCAGTGGATCCGCCTGTTCTGCTCCACACTCTGTCTCTGGTGAATCCTCACATCCCCCCCACCCCCGCACCTCTGGCCTAGACCCAAGTTCTTGTAAGTATAAATAAATAAAAATAAATCTTAAAAAAAAAATTCATTGCCAAAGTGTGGTACACTAATCTGAAGTATGTGTGTTGAGAGTAGGAGATACGAAAGATAGGAGCTTACATTGGTAACAGAATTCTTTCTAATTTTGGTTAGGTTGTGAGTGACTGCTTTTGTTACCAGAGAATTAACTGAATTATCAAAATATATGAAGTTTGGAATAGAAATTAGATACATTTACAATCAAGTGAATCTGATATAGTGATTATGTTGTTGTTATAGCATTCATTCCTACAAAAAGGAGAATATTTTTACCTAACCAACTGATTATTTTTTGGACCAGTCCTTCAGAAAGAAAGACTGATAGTTTCCCAGGTGGAGAGGAAATAGTTGATTTTAAAGCGCAGAAGGCAATTGAGCTGACAAGCAACACCTCCGTATAGTAAAACAAATAGCAAGATAAAAAGCCCGTGGCAGCAGTTGTGAGATGAGGATTGATAGAGGGAAGCTGAATTGTATTGCTGTTTCAGTGCAGAGAATTTAATCTGATTGTTTTCCCACCACTTGACCTAAAAAGGGGCCAAACTGGGCAGCTTGGGACTTCTAGAATGGAGCAGCCTAAAGATACTGAGCTCCTTGGTGGGAGAATAAAAGAGATTCATGGAAGAAAATGTGACCTAACTGGGGGGTGACATAAAAATGGGAGCCTGAAAAGCCAAACCCTCCTCTTCTTAAGTTGCATTTAAGTGCAGAAAGCTGTAAACGCTCAACTAGAGTAGGGAGAGATTCGTACGTTTTTCCGAGGTAAAACCAGAATGCCTGTGAAATTAAGCTAGCTTTCACAGGGAAGAGAGCAGGAATTAAGGAGGTCCTAATACCATGTGTGGTAAATGAGAATTACCAATACAGTTCAGCTCAAGTCAAGTGAAATTCTATGCCTTTTGAAAAAAAAATAGTAGGAAAGAATGAACAAGAATGCCATTTATTCAGAGAACAAAAGTATGTGTGATTAAAGAGGTAAAGGAATCAAACTTTTAGGATGCTCCGAAGAAAAATGGCAAAGGAGAAAAAAAATATCATCTCATGTTTTATTTAAAACCCTGTTATTGTCAGTCACACATCAAAAGACTGGCAGCCTGTCTTTCTGTGTTTATGTATTTGTTTTTGTTTCTACAGATGTCTCTGAATTTTTTGTTAAAAGCAGTCACTCGCACTGCCAAGAGAAATTAGCAATGCTTCCACAGTGGCGTAGACATGACTCATAGCACAGACAAAGCAGAAGCTCTCCTCCTACCTCAATTCCTGCTGGATCTGTGCTTTTGGAAGCTTTTGTGACTTGAAGGCAGGAGACTGTATGATCACACAAGGCCTGTGACCATATGATCACACAAGGCCTCTGAAAGGCCCTGCCCTTGGTTTACTATTCTGTGCTTGCTGCCTTGAAATTCTTAATAATTATTATTTTTTATTTTTTGATATTAATTTTTTATGTAATTATTCATTTTTAAACAATATTTGCTTTCCTCCAACCCCTCAGGTGTAGTCCCCGTAGAGTTTCCTTCACCAATGCGCCTGTGCACCATCACCTCAGTCCCCTGTGCTCCTCATCAGTGTGAAAAAATAATAACAGTACAACTACCTCACACCATGCACAAAAACCAGCTCAAAATGGATTAAAGAACTAGACATAAGACCTGAAACCATAAAATATATAGAAGGAAATATAGGTGAAACACTACATCACATGCACCTCAAAGACATCTTTACAGATATCTGAAAAGTGAAGGCAAAGATAAACAGCTGGGACTACATCAAATTAAAGAGCTTCTGCATAGCAAAAGAGACAATAACAAAAACAAAGAGAAACCCCACCAACTGGGAGAACATTTTTGCACACAACGCTAATGATAAAGGACTGATGACAAAAATCTACAAAGAGCTGATGAGACTCAACAAACACAAAGAAAATAATCCCGTCAAAAAATGGGCAGAAGAGCTAAAAAGAAACTTCTCTGAAAAGGAAATGCAAATGGCCAACAGGCATATGAAAAAATGTTCAACATCACTTGTAATCAGGGAAATGCAAATCAAAACTACCATGAGATACCATCTTACACCAGTGAGAATGGCACATATTAAAAAAACTAGCAACAACAAATGTTGGCGAGGGTGTGGAGAAAAAGGAACTCTTCTGCACTGTTGGTGGGAGTGCAAACTGGTCCAACCACTATGGAGAGCTGTGTGGAGATTTCTGG